TTCCCTCACCCGGCCATTTCTCCGGCTCATGTGAACCAACAGCCCTTACCGGACAGCGGGAGATCAGCTTGGCTGCAAAAGAAATGGATCGAATCCCGTTCTCTCCAGCTAGAGGAACAGAAGCTTCAGATCCAAGCTGAGTTGCTGGAATTGGAGAAGCAACGGTTCAAGTGGGAGAGGTTTAGCAAGAAGAGGGACCAAGAGCTCGAGAAACTGAGAACCGAAAACGAGAGAATGAAGCTAGAGAACGACCGAATGGAATTGGAGCTGAAACGGGGCGAAATGGGTGGAGACTTATAACAAACCGACCTCACATCTCTATATTCCATGGATCTAAATAATAAAAGATCAAATTTTTCCGATCACCGGAGAATCAAGACCACGATCTGAACAACCGGGCGACGATTGATTGGAGTTATACTGCGAAAGGAGTGGTAATATAAATATAATGAGGTATCTAACTGTTGTTTTGTCTTAATCATAAAGCACAGTTTCATATATAGCTCTATGGCTGTGAAGTACTTATGGTTAAGATTGTTTTCTTGTCGTTAGATGCATTGTTTCTGATATCGGAAGCTGCCCTTTTTTTCCGGTCAGTAACAAACGTCACACACACACATATATACATATATACATATATATGTATATATATTTCTAGGTTGTGTTTGGTTGAAGGAAAAGTTTGGATTTTTTTTTTTTAAATGTGGGTTAGAACCCGGGAATGATGGAAATGTAATGGGATGAATTTGGTCAGAAACAAAGTTTAGGTTTTATTTGTGAAAATTGAGAAGTTTAAATATTTTTTTGGAATTTTCTCTAATATAAATGGTTTTTAGGTTTAATCCATTTTCCATTTTCGTTCTTTATTTTCCACCTTAAATTTACCTTTGACCCATCAATAATTGAGTTACTGAATTTTATGTTTTTATTTTCTTAATTCCGTTGATTATGTAAACTTTTGTTGTTCAAATATTTTCACTATAAAATTAAATTTATCAGAAATATCATTTTAAATTTGTCATTAGGAATAAATATTTTAGTTCTATAGGTATAGTTATTTTTATCATTAGTCCTTTTGAAACAGATTATATTTGTTTAATTTTATATCTTTTAAGTTTGATTTGATTGTTATTGGAATTCCATATATATTTAGATATGTAATGCATTTTGTCTTATTTTCTACATAAAGAACACAATAAAATCTACACATGCATGATGATGTTGGAAATAGATGGATATATAGTTGATTTCACATCCAATTAGAGTAACGTTACAAATTCTTTTAATTTTCCATGATACTATAAGATTAACGATTGATATTATTTTGTCAATGGAATTTGTTTTTTACCATATTAGCATTTTTCCTAAACTTGATGGTGGTTCCTCTATTCGAAAAGACACTTTTTCTGTATAAATTATTTTTTTTATAATCCAAAAATTCATCAAACCTACCCATATCTTCCAAATAATTGGATAAACTCTTGTCAATATCTATTCCGAAACGAAGATTCGAATATAAATTATCTTTTTATAAAGAGAGGGAAAAAAATATTTTCATAAAAATGATCAATCATTTGGTTTAGATCAACTGCACATTAATTACTTGAATTTATGATCCTGAATATAAAATTTCTATTACACATAATCAACGTTTTTATTATATATATATATATATGATTAATAATGTGTAAATCCACCCATTGGAATTTGGGGTTTTTATTACACCTTGCAAATAACTATGTTATTTAAATTTGGATAGTTCAACGGTAAAATAGGAATGCAAAACGTTTGTTCTATCCCGAGTTCAAATCTTAAATTTATAGATATAAAAAAAAACTACGTTTGCATGTTTCTTTTCTTTTTTGTTTTTTTAATACCAATGTGCATCTACGAAAAAAGACTAACAAAAAATAATTCAAAATAACATATAAATTTGAAGAGAAATTGTAACGTTAAGGTTCGACCACGTAACAACTACATTTTTTTTTTGTAATAAGATATCCAATTCGTTAGTTCACAAGCTACCACATGCAATGTAATGGTCCCTAAATCTCACTCTTAACAAATACGTTTTCTTTTTGAGAAATTAAATATATCCAATCTGTCACACCGTAATTTTCTATTTACCGCCTAGCAAATTATAAATTTAACTTTCATTCACAGTGGAAGTTACCCTTGGTAACAATTTCTAACCGTATATTTACAAGATCAGTTACTTTATATATCGAATTAATGATTGAAAAGTGGCATAATTTGTATGTCGGTTTTGCATCTCTTCTTCTTTACCGACAGTGAATTTCACAAGTAAAAAACATGTAAATTATCGTTTTTTTGCCTAATTGTTACAAAATTTATACCATATTATTTTGTTAATATCATAGATTATAATATCTATATCGGATTATTATATCAGTTACAAGATTGAAGGCAACAATGAGAGATTAATATTGAACATTTTAGTTCATCCATTAACAACCGAAATCGAATAAACCTAATAAAATCTAAATATATTTGAATAGTATGAAAAAAATTTATCTATATTTTTAACAAAATAACTGAATGCAAATCAAACAAAATTAAATAAAAAATAATTGAAAAAAGAAAATAATACTTTTAAAAAAGTATTTTAATTTGAGTGAAGTAAAAATCGGATATAAAAAAACGATAGATACAAAAATTTCTATGAAAAAATGGAACAATTATCACACAGAAACAATTATATGAGTAGAGGGTTTTTTGATTAAGCTAAGAGTCAAATCTCACTTCCCGGGAGAGATTTCTACTGAATTATTTGATTTGAAACTATGTAATAAAAATAATAATATAGGAAATTCAATAAAAATATAATTTACCAAAAAAAAAATAGTAATTATGTATTACACAACGTGATATGGGCACACCATTTATTTTCTCCATTTAATTTTTTTCCTCATCTCTTCCTCCTTTGAAAATATATTTTCAAAAGTGATAATCACATTTATTAAAATATAATTCATTAAGTGAGATGGGAGTGGGGACAAACCAATCAGTGAGGTCTAATTAAATAACAGTGACGATTCTTATAAATTAACTGTGGGGACGAAGTAAAAATTAACTTATAACCATCAATGATTAAAGGGTCCATGTGGGATCCACGTTACGGAGAATTTTCTAATTTCAAAGCAATAATTAGAAGTTACCTTTTAGATTTCGGTCTTTAAAATAACTCAAATCAAATCTAACAATATGAATATAATATAAAAACAAATTTAGATAATCAAAATAAAAATATTTTTAAAAAGATTAATTCAAATCAAACGTGTAAAAATTAAATAGTTAATTGACTTTTTTAAAACTAAAAAATTCAATTCGAAAAAAATAGCGTAGTCGAATTCAAAGTATTAATCTATAATATTAATAATTTTAAAAATATATCTAATACTTTTATTTCCACAAATCCTTCGTCTCCTTTGAGAGATATACATCTTTCTGTGCCCACTTTTTGTCATTACTCATTCAATCTATCACTCTTGATTAACATCACACTTATCATTTCCTCGTTTTTTTATATATATTTAGAAAAATCCCATATAAATATTTCAATTTTCTATATCAAATAAATATATAAATTTTTAATATGATCTAATTTATTATTTAAATATTAAAATATTTTAAACTGATATACCAAATGTTAAAATATTTCAAATGGATATATGAACTCACAAAATCAATAACAATTATCATTGATTCTAACGACGATATATAAATTAGATATTATAAAAAAGCAAATCAATATTGTAAATTGGTATTCATTTCATGAGTTAGAATAGTAATTTAGAATATATTAATATTTGAGATATCAATTACATTAAATTAAAATTTTAGATATTTATTTAATAAATTTTATAAAATTGAGATACTTATATACGATTTTTCTATTTATTTTGAAACTATGAAAAAACTATTGTTTTCTAAGTTTTCTTTTTTTTTCCGGAAATAATAATATTTGTTTGTCATTTTCTTCTATTAATCCATAAAAAATTTGTGGTATGATGTAATACAATATTACAAAAAAAACAATTTTATCTGTCTTACCCACATATTTATAGGTGATTATGTTTTGATACTTTAATTTAAAAATATGGACATTTGTTGGTTTTATCGTCAACGTTTACTATAGACATTAACACATTACATATTTTTAGAATTTAGTGATAAACTCTATATAAATGGAATATATAACAGATCGATTGACAAAAAAGTACAATAATATTTCTTAATAAAATAAATTTCCAGTGTAATATTCAGTGTATTCGACTATTTTTTATATATATACGCTACATATGGATTCAAAGATTTTACCATGTATATAAATTGTGCACAGAAATCAAATAATTACCTTAAAAACAGAGATTAACGAGAGACAGAAATGATGAATATTCCATTTTTGGCTAAAACGAAGGGGAAAAAAGTAGAAGAAAAAAAAGGTAAATGAATTTAAAAAACAATATAAATATTTAAGAATGGCTTCTGTAGATCCATCGCCAGAAAAAAATATATATATTATTCACTTTTCGTCTGTTCCCACTCTTCTCCTTTAATCTCTCTCTCCCTCTGAATTTTATTTTTTATGTAATTTTTTTCCTTCTAACTCATTACAGAGAAAAAAAATAAATAAAATTGAGAGAATTAAATAAAATAAAAAACCCTAATGGTGATGGAGCTTGGTGGTGGAACTACTACCGCAGCCGCGGCGTCACAAAACAGCGGCGCGGATGCGGCGGTGGAGCGTTTGGAGGGTCACGACGAGGAGACGAGCAGACGCGGTTTCGGAGGGAATCGGTGGCCGCGTCAGGAAACGCTAGCGTTACTGAAAATACGATCTGATATGGATACCGCGTTCCGACACGCCAGCGCCAAAGGTCCCTTGTGGGATGAGGTTTCCAGGTGCGTTTTCCTCCATAATTTTTTTTTTATCTCTTTTTCAGGTAATTAATTTTTTTTTCTATTTATTTTTTATATTCCTCCTGTGAAAAAAAAAAGCTTCTTGTCGGTAAAATTAATTTCTATTCAATTCCGTCTGAAATTTTCTCTCGTAAGATCTTTCCAAGATTCGGGCAGACTTTGATTTCTGATTCTGATTTTTTTTTTGTATAATTCTGAAAATTTAGTGTAGTAAAATTTTAGGCAGTTCTTGAAATGTTTTTTTTAATCTAAGTTCATGTAATAATCTTGTGTGATTTACGTGTTGTCTATCGATTGATTCACTATAGGAATTATCGTCTCAAAGAATTCTAATTAATTATTTAATTTTTTATACACAAAACTTGAAGTTTCTTGGTATAGTTAGATCACGTCCATGGATTCTATTTTTTTTTCTAAATGAAATTTTCTGTTTGTTTCTCAGGAAAATGTTGGAGATTGGGTACAACAGAAGCGCCAAGAAATGCAGAGAAAAATTCGAGAATGTATACAAGTACCATAAGCGTACCAAAGAAGGCCGTACAAGAAAATCCCAAGGCAAAACCTATCGCTTCTTCGACCAATTAGATGCCCTCCAGACCCAGCCGCAACCGCAATCGCAATCGCCGCAACCCCCGTCTGTGAACGCCGACAACCCTCCTACTTGTGGCGTTGCGTTAGCGACTGTTACATCAACAATGCCGCCTCCGTACACTTCAGTCCCGCCTGTCCCCGACATTTTCTGCGATTTTCCGTCGGATTCAGCACCTTCGTCGTCATCTTCTTCGGACATGGAGACTGGAGGAGGAACGAGGAAGAAGAGAAAGAAGAAATGGAAGGATTTCTTCGAGAGGATGGTGAAGAAGGTGGTGGAGAAGCAAGAAGAGCTTCAGACACAATTCTTGGAAACCCTAGAGAAGCGAGAGAATGAGAGAATGGTCCGTGAAGAAGCTTGGAGAATGGAGGAGATGGCCAGAATCAAACGCGAACGCGAGATTCTCTCCCAAGAACGCTCAAACGCAGCCGCTAAAGACGCAACCGTCATGACGCTCCTGCAGAAACAACTGTCGGAAAACCCAAGCTTAAGTCACTTATCCACACACGCACCACCGCCACCGCAAACGCAGATTCTACAGCCTCCGCCACCGCAAACGCAGCCCAACGAGACGGCGACGAGCCCGAGCCCGTCGAGGTGGCCGAAGGTGGAGATCGAAGCGCTGATAAAGCTGCGAACGAATCTTGATTCAAAGTACCATGAGAATGGATCACAAAAGGGTCCGATGTGGGAAGAAGTCTCTGCCGGAATGAGAAGGTTAGGGTTCAACAGGAGTGCGAAGAGATGCAAGGAGAAGTGGGAGAATATCAACAAGTACTTCAAGAAAGTGAAGGAGAGCAACAAGAAACGGCCCGTAGATTCCAAGACTTGCCCTTATTACCACCAGCTCGACGTTTTGTACAGAGAGAAGAACAACATGGCCATGGCCTCGACCTCGACCTCGTCCACGTCCATGGTGGAGATGAAGCCCAAGAACACAGTCCCGCTCGTGGTTCAGCCCGAGCAGCAATGGCCTCCCGCCGCAAGAACGGAACCTCGACCGCGACCGGAGACACAGATAGAGGATGTGGGTCTAGGAGAGAATTCCGGTCGGAACCCGGACCAAGACAGAGGAAGAGAAATGGATGGCGAGGAGGAGGAAGATGATGACGACGGTAGTGGAGGTGAGTTTGAGATTGTGCCGAGTAAATGACAATAACGGTGAGTGAGAAGGTGACATTGCTCGGGTTGGGTAAAAAAGTATTTACTCAGACGGTAAAAAAAAAAAGAATTTCAAAGTTTTGATACAATTATACATTGGAGGGGTTGGTTATTTTTTCTTGACATTAAATTTATAAGGTATAACCAATGGGAATTAAGATGTTGAGAAATTTAGTTTTTTTTTTAAATTTAGTTTTTTTTATGATAAATAAAATTGAATAAGGGGGGACAAGGTGGGGTTTAGGCGTTGTTGCAAGTTTTCTTTTCCCCTTAAATTTGACGGTCCAATGTTGGTGATAGTGTAAATCTCGAGCAATCTGTTTCAGATATTCATACTATGCACAGATAATATTAGATTTAAATATTTTGTAACACGAAATAACAATAATTTTTTAAAATATACATAAAATGGCAACATCACATGCAGACAAACGATAGAACGTGAGTTGGGGGTCCACGTGGAAGGAATCTTTTTCTTCTGCCTAATCATATTCGAAAAATTGTATATTTATACAATATTAGAATAAGATCAGGTGTGATTGTTTTGGTTAACTGAAAACTTTTTCACCTTTATGATTGGCATTTTAACGGTCGTAAATGTATGGTTGTTATATACTTAATATTTTGTTAGAATATATAATATAATCGGTCTATCATATTTTATATATATATAGTTACGTGTGGTTTCGAATTCTTGATAATCTTACAAAGGGTTTCAAAAAAAAGGATGAGAGAAGATTGCTTCTATCATTTTTTGAAAACTAAAACTCGAAAGTGATCGCACGCGAGAAACCTAGAAAAATGATTTATTAAAAGATTTCCCTCAAATTTTGGAATATTAAATTAGAAAAGAATAACGTAATAGAAAACTATCTTTCTTCATTAAAAATCCACGAAAAAATCTAAAAAAACCATCAATTTATTTTTACTTATCTTTTGTGATAGTTTGACAAATTTAACGATTTTTTAAAATGGATCTTTCAAACTTAATTCGATTCATGATTCACTCATTTTTCTTGAACGAGTAGATAGAGTAATAAAAATTATTTTCACGATTTCATTTTAATCATTTCGGGGTTTTTAACTAAAAAAGGAAAATGTTATAACAATCGATTTAGATTTTAGACTATAAAAGTATCTTTTGCCCATGAATGCCGAATTAATGGTCATAATTTTCTTGGCAGATAGAAAATCATGATAGGTGGAAAATGTCGGCCCATCAATTTAATTATATATTTATGTTAGTATTTATTAGATGTCATGGTAAAACCTATTATATATCATCATATAAATCCACCTTTTATTCTATCAATTCGTTGGTTACCCCATTAAGAATATTTTATTATATAAGACCATTTGACACAATATGATAAAGAATATTTTTCTCCAATCATTTTACATTCTATTTTCTTCTCGAAACACTCAAATATTTTTCTTGTCTTTTTAGTATTTCGGGTGAAAAAAAGGCAATTAAAAAAACAAAGTTGTAGTGCGCATGAAAAGGGAAATTAAAAGGAATCTTTTTCTTTTTCTTTTTCCATGCATGTTTTAGAGTTGCATTTGGCATTATGCTTATGCATTTCTTTCTCTCTTTTTTTTTCTTACCTAATCAAATTTCTACTCCAAAAAAACATTACATAAGATGAATATATATATATATATATATTGATAAATGGGCATATAACGTTCAAAAGATCTGTAAAAAAAAGATATCACGTTCATAGTAATTAATACTATGAATGAATAATAATTATAATAATAATAATAATATTGTTATGTGATGAAAACTATGTGACGATAACGACCACCGAATTTGTAGGTCCCAAGTCTCTTATTAGGTGTGTCGGAAAGACAGTGGATGGCCCTTCGGCTTCTCCCAACAAAATGGGGCAAAATAACGCAACACTCATCACGCCATGTGCGGTTTTTTGTTTGGTAAATTTTATTATAATAATACGCGTGAAATTTTATTTCACAACGAAAAAATTTGGAAAAAAAAAGGAAATGCGTATTTACATACATATATACATACACATAATCTCTTAACTATGCGAAAACATTATTGTCAATGTCCATTGGTGAGACTGTTTTGTTCATCGCCATCTCGAATCCACCTGTCTCATTCTCTTCTTCTTCGCTGTCTCTTTCTTCATCTCGATTTCCATTTCCTAGGTTTTCCATCTCATAGCTTTCTTGAGGAGGAAGCAACTGCTGTTGTGGAGCCGCCATTAGAGACAACGCCGAAGCTTTGTTCTTCTCTTTGTAAATGGCCTCGAGTTGGTGAAAATAAGGGCAAGTCTTTGAATCAATGGGCCGTTTTTTATTGTTCTCTTTCACTTTCTTGAAGTATTTGTTGATGTTCTCCCACTTCTCTTTGCATCTCTTCGCGTTGCGATTGTAACCAAGTCTTCGCATCCCGACCGAGATTTCTTCCCACAGTGAACCCTTTGCGCCGTTTTCTTGAAATTTATAATCATCGGCATTTGTCCTTAGCCTTATCAGAGCCTCAACCTCGGCTTTCGGCCATCTAGAAGAACTTGGAGACAGGAAATAGTTCGAATTGTCCCCATTGTTCATCTTCTTGCTTGTTGCTTCCACTGTCCTTATCTCATCTTGCTTTTGATCATTCTGAATTCTTATTTTTTGGTCGCCCCGAAATTGTTGTATCTGTTGTCCCGATACGTTTTGTAAGAAGGAAATGATTGCGGAGTCTTTAACCGCGGCCTCTGACCTTCCGTGGACTAGAATTTCGTATTCTCTATGGATTCTGGCCGTTTCTTGGATCCTCCATGCTTCTTCTCTGGCAACTCTCTCCTTCTCGAGCTTCTCCAATGTCTCCAAGAACTTCTTCTGCATCTTGTCTTGCTTCTCCATCAAATCATTCGTCAACCTTTTCAATAATCCCTTGAAGTATTTTCTCCTCTTCCTTGACCTCTTCCCCTCAATCTCCTCCTCATCAGATGCTGTTGAAGAAGATGTCGAGCTCGAGAAGAGATTCATCCATGGAACATTGCTCGGAAAATCATTAGGGTTCGTTTTATAGCCAGAGCTAAGGACTGTATGAGAATTGTAACTTGCAATTGTAGATTGTTTCTTGGTGAACAAGGTAGGGTTTGTACCATTTGATGGGTTAATCCATGGTACCAAGGAAGCAGTTGTGGTCACGGTCGTGGTCGGAGGTAGTTTGTGGATACGAGATTTGGGTTCGAGAGGATAGGAATGGAGACTTTCGAAAGCTTCCAATTCGTTGTAAAACCGGTATGATTTGCCTTCCGGTTTGCTAAACCGGCCTTCCTTGGTACGCTTGTGGTACTTGTACACATTCTCAAATTTCTCCTTGCATTTCTTGGCACTTCTTCTGTAACCAAGCTCAGCCATGTTCCTGATCATTCATCAATAACCCATTAGACATATACATACACATATAGAGAGAGAGGAACTCATTCATCAAAAACACAATGGTGTGTGTATATATATATATATGTATATACGAGTTTCTAGAAATGTAGATGAGCTGTTTACCCAAGGAAAATTAATTGCCAGAAAACAAACATCGGGAGGATACAACTGTTTGAAAATAGAAATAAAAATCCTCATATAAACACATTTCAAGGGAAGACTAACATGCATAAATGAATATAAAAACACATATTTATAAATATTTAATTGAAAAAACGTGTATATACATTATGTATGGTTATAAAATTTATATTATTAGACAATTAATCTATAGTTAACACCAGACAGTTATTACACCTCGATAAAAACCTTTGAAGGAAAAAAACCTCATCAAGAAAACAAAACAAGATCAACATATATATAGATACATACAGACACATACACATATATATATATATATATGTATATATACATGTGTGTTTATATTTATGTAGATAAACCTGGAGATTTGTTCCCACAAGGGAGATTTAAGAGCAGAGTCTCGGAAAGCGGAGTCCATCTCCGAACGTATCCTCAAGAGAGCCAAAGTCTCCGGCCGAGGCCACCGGTTCCCTCCCCCTCCGCCGCCGGAGACGGTGGCTATCTCGCCGGAATCCTCCAGCTTCTCCTCCTCTCCGGCGGTGGCTGCCACGGGGAAGCTCTCTAGTACTTCGCCTGAATCCCCCAACATATATACATATAATATATGCTAATTCGAATCAAATGTTTTGAAGGATCGAAAAAAAAGGTGGGGATGGAGAGAGAATTTTGAAGAAGACAAAGAGGTGCCTTATTTTTCGGTGGTTTTATCTTTGTGGGTATTTAATTTGATGCGACGGTCTGTTTATCCATATATCTACGTATATAATAATATATATGTATACGTACATATCAATATATCATGTAGATAATATATATATATATATATAAGAAAAAAGAAAAGAGTGGGTCTTGATAAGGGTTTTTTTTCCGCTTTGGTTTTGCTTTTATTTCGGGAATCTTCTCATGGCCTATAAGAAAGAAACATTTCACAAATAATCATTTTTAACGTTTCCATGCATGAATCAGAAAAAAGGAGACAATATACGAAATTTGTCTATAATTCATTTATTTATAGAATGAAGAAAAAAACATATACATATAGAACTTCTTAGTCCAAATGATAATCATTTATATCCGCAATATTTTTCTTTTAACTTCTCTAACTAATTTTACTTTATATTATAATGTTTTCTCACCAAATTTATTTTATTTATTTGGGGTAAAAACGAATCTTAATATTATAATACTAATGATAATGATGATGATTATGAGACGACTGAAAGAATAATAATATCATCATTGAGCTGTGGGAGAAGACTGGGAATAAAACTAGATTAAAATTATAATGATTGATATAATTATGGAGAGACTTTTTCATTTAAAAAATGTTAATATATATATATATATATGTATATATATATATCAAAGATAATCTGCTGCAGATAGCGACGATGGGGATAATATTCGGGGCCATGTGAGGTGCAGATTTCTTCTTCTTTTTTCTTCATTTTTTTAATTTGCCGTTGTATATATAATTTTAATTAATTTGGTTAATAAATAAAACATCGATGTTAATTTATTTTTAAACTTAACGTGAAGGCATTGACCTCTAATTATGCAAAAAGCTAACCACTAATCGCTCATTTTATTTTTTTCTTAAACCCTAATCACACACACATATACACGCGCGCCTGTAATTAAAATATATTTTTTAGTTTTGTCTTTTTTATTTAAATATATTATATAAAGAAAATATGGAAGGCCATGCGTAAGGATAACAATATCAATATACGTGAATATATTGAATATAGGGCCATGTACATATGGATAACAATATCAATATACATGAATATATTGAATGTGATTGTATTGTTACATGGATATCTTTAGAATTATGATGTAAAATCAAATTTACAATATTAAACAACATGAGGAGTTAGATATAGGTCGAAGTTGTATTTGTTATTGGGTGGATATCAAACATTTATGAGATAAAGCGAGTTGTGACATAATTTGGTTAGCTTCGTGACCTACCAATATTAAATGATATTGAAAAATTCCGGTGGCTAAATAATGTCGTTATTTACACATATATAATTAATGTTAGCCTTATTTATTTCAAAAACTTATTTACATAATATTTTTTGAATTTATCTATCAAATATCAGAAATGATATTATATTATGTTATAATTGATTAAAAATTCTAAACAACAAATAATAATGTAAAATTATTATTATTATTACAAACATAAATTTCCCAAAATTCTCGATTTTATGATATGGTATTATTAATTGTTTTGAATTCAGAATTTTTATATAATTATATATAATTCTACTGGTTTGAATACGAGAAAACGTAGCATTTAATTAATTGGTTAATAGTTAGTCTAATTTTATGGCATCATGATATTTAATTAGAACAAAATTTCCATATCCGCCATTATCACAAAGATGTTTCTGGTTTATTTTATGTTTCACATTTTTTTTTTGGAATGGACTGTAAAAATGTTTCATATTTTTTGTGCATTGACACAATTTTGTAGAATGCTATAGAAAGTAGAGATGGACATACCGGTTCTGTCTAGTCGGACCTTAATGTTTAATTATAATTTAGGTTTTAAAATATAAATGTAACAATTTCGGCGGTTTAAATCTTGAAAACATTTTTTGTAATAATTCAATGTAAAAGACAAACCAAACCGATCAAAATCAATGATTTTATGCAAAAAAAATAAAATAACAAAAAATTGGATTCAATTTCATTTCATTTTAATTTTGTTTACACACACACACACATATATATATATATATATATTCTAAAATATACTAATATAATTAGTTTCTTTCCAATTCTGTATAACTTTTATAAAACCTATAGAAAAACGGAAAAGTGACATATAAATTATATATATATATATATAATTAGAAAGACTGTTGTTATTGATGGCGGAAAATGTGGAAAGCACAAAATATATAATCAAATTACGGCGGCGAAGACAAATCCGTATTAAAAAAAATTGAAATCGCATTTTAAAGATTTCTATGTAAAATCACATTTTATTTTATGTAGCCCATGTTTCGCTTAAAGGTCCAGCAAAACATATAAGAAAATGGACAATCTCACCTGTAGTTTGTTTTTTGTCTGAGGTACCAAACTTTGGTCTCCCTTTTTTCCGGTTTTGTAATTAATTTTCTGCATATATTATTCATTTTATTTTCCTCATTTTTAGCTTATATATATATATATATATACGAGGATGAGAAAAAAAGAAAAAAAGAAGCAATGGTTATAATTAGCTGGATTCAAATTCACACTGTAAAGTGAAGCCCACTTGCCACCTTTATACGTATGTATACATGCATGTTGACAAACGATGTGTATATATCTGTTGTATACGATACATGTACACAACGTTTTACAATTAACTCGACCATTATTATACATGTAATTGAAGATTATATATTAATATTTTTCACTATAATTTTACAGTTAACTCGATACATCATACGATTTATCGTCATATATATATATATATACTGAATTAATAACCTATACCACAAAAAAAAACTATATCGAATAACATAATGATGACATGTTTTGTAAGAAATAAATATATTTAACGGCACAATTCTTTCTCCAAAACATATAATTTTCAATGATAGAATTATCTGTAATAACATCTCACCGATAATATATAATACATTTTGTCTTGTGTTATATATATATATATATATTTATGTATTTGTATATCGTAATTAATAGATTTGCAAATAACCCAAATCGATAAGAATTCAGACAAAGGATACGAGCCGTTTAAAACTTTTAAACTGTTATATAAGCGGTGACGTCAAACTGCGAATGTCGAGGACGAATCACAAGCCGTCAATAGGCGATGACGTGGCAGCATAGGACCCTTGGATCTATCCGAATAGTAGAAAAGAGCGGATGCTGTTACACGTGGCATGGAGGCGTTTGGATTCCTTTCGTATTTGCCACGTAGGATTCCATTTGCTGTCCACGTGGACTGTTATGCATTTTTGTTCCAACTTTGCTTTTTCCCTACACGCCATGTGATCTTTGATGATATTTTTTGCAAAATATTTTAAAAACACTTTATTCCGTTTTCCAATATTATTTCCACAAAAATAAATGTAATATTTAGCATAAAAAATTAGTAGTGAAAGTAAACGAACACCATCCAATTTTTTTCGTATATTTATATTTAATTTAAAAAACTAAGGAAATGTTAATTTGACGCTATCGTTGGATTGTATGTAAACAAAAAATAAAATTGAGGATTAAAAAAAACAAATGACAAACAAAGAAAAATTTTGGTTATTGAAGAGCAACAAAAAATTAAAGATGGAAACTCATATTTTAATATACGATTTTTTCTAGAATCTATTTTTTATATTCCTCTCCTTTTTTCTACGAATTAATTATCCTTCAAATATTTACTTTTTTTTTGTTGTAAAGTCAAACTCATTTTCCATGCCTGCGTCAAATGTTATTATTGGTCAGGTTGAAATGTATTATTGATATATATATATATATATTAATGGAACAATTGAAATATTTGGGTCTTCATAATAATTGAAAATAACGTCAACAATTTCAATTTGCGCATGAAGTTCAAAGTTGCCTTCAATTTCGACCGACTAATTCAATCTATTTATGATACGTAATATTCTATATATATAAATGTAAAACACTTATATTGTGCTCGATCGAGATAGAACAAAGATGAAAATGAAATTAAATTCGGCTTAGGTTTCGGTTCTTGGTTAAATATTATTTTTTAAATGAACCGAAAATTAATCGGAGGTTTGAATAATTCGGAATAAGAAATACCAAAAAATCGAACTGCATTAAATCCGATATATTTGAATTTCTACTTTGGGAAATATCACCAAATAATTTATTTCATTGGTTGGGTCGAGGCCATGAGCGTGTCATATGGTCTAATAGGCTCAATATTTATAGTCGAAGCCCAATATATATCGGTCCGTAAAACCCATCAATTAATTAATTTATTCTTTAACATTCTATTTAAATATTACGGTATATATATATATATATTCCTCGTTCAGTTTTTTATCAATAAAAATACTATTTTTTTAAAAACGTTCGAGTTTTGAATTATTTTTATATTGTGATTTATTACATTTTTTTATTTTTAAAATTCTATGCATATTCCATTTTTATATCAAATTAATTGAAATACAGTAACATATTACTCAATTTTACATAATCAAATACACTTCAATTTTGTATAATCGAATCCAAATGCATTATTTACATATTTATTATTCAATTTATCTCCCCGTAACATTTATTCTAGAAATTATTTTTACTAATTTCTTTTATTTTAAAAAGGCCAAAAAGGTAAACAAATAACAATGAAAAAAATTGCATTCCATAGATTCATTCATGTATATATATACGTCAGCAACTTGAATTATCAAAATCTATAACTCAACAAACGTATTTTAAGACTAACTTAATGTTCACTTAAATTTTGCATTTTAACAAATTCTATGTGATTTTTTCCTTGATTAATTTGATTATTTAGTCATGTCCACGCATTCAACATTTGGAAATAATATCATCAGAGCGAAAGTTTATTCTACTATATATATAAATGTGCATATATATATATATATTCTTAATCACATATACACAAGGATTTTTTTTTCAAATTCCATTTGATTCTCCCAACTCAATAAATATTTCAAATACATAAAAGTATAAAAACTAAAATAAATGAGTATTGAGTTTATCCGTATTTTTACATGTACATTTATGTAAAGCATTTCATTGATTGGAACATATTAGATTTAGGGCAATGAGTATATATATATATATATATATATAAAGCTTAGATAACATTAAAAGGTATAAACAAACACTTAAAAAAGGGGGAAACAAGTCTTTGAACATCATTTACTTAATTGCTTATGAGCTACAAGAAATACGAATTCTTCACATAAAAAAAGGAAGCATATAAATTTGTTGTGACAGACATCGAGAAGTGAGCACGCACTGCTTGCCGTCCAAGCAGACCGGAGATGACAAGCAATCATTGCCGGAGAGTTCTAAACGGCAGATCGTCTCCTCTTACGTCTCCATATCGTCCCCGATTGCCTGTACGGACGACGTCGACGTGGAGCTACCAACATCTTTCCCTCCTTCTCTCTCTCTCTCTCTCTCTCTCTCGTATTTGTATGTGAGAGACAAAGGGAAGGAGGCTTAAGCTGAGCAAGAACCCAAATGGCTTCCCACTATGAAATTTATATATTTTTGTATCTGCAACCACAACTTATATATATATCTACACATGGTGTATATATATATATATTATGTACATATAACTGTATAAAGTCCATAGTGAAGATAAAACCCATAACCATATGTCCTACTTATTAAAATGGTCCATTAAATAACAGAGTTTAATTGCAAAACCAACAAGCTGTCAAGATAAGCACATAATCACAAACCCTTTTCATAATCCACAAAATCATTAAGTGTAAATTTGTTATTAACGGCATACTTAAAATAAGTATATGCATCCTTTTTTTTGTATGAATTGTATATTTGTATGGTTTTATTTGTAAATGCTAATGATGGTTCCGTTTAATTGCTTGAAACTTTGATCTTAATACTTTATACGTAAAGAACAGTTATTATATATATATATATTTTGCATTTTGAGTTCTCTTATACTCTTCTAGCGTGTTTAAACACCTTTCTTTTAATATATGATATAAATATATTTTCCAATTTTATTTTATTATTAATAATTTATGACAATATTGGGAACCATTATAGTTGAAAAAATAACGCGTCAACAGATTTGCAGAATCGAACATGTTAACTCAAAGTCGGCTATTAGTTTAAAGAATGCGGTCCACTGTTTGGGTTACCAATTTTCGTATTATCCACCATCATTTGAGTATGTCATATTTCAACACGATTCTTTAGATTTAAATTATGTTAATTGTTAAATATAATTTTTTTTTCATATATTATATTTAGTAGTTAATATGATCCATGGCTTGTGCATGTGTGTATTTTGAATTCATGGTTGACCGGTCAAGCCATAGACTGATCAACCACTAAATGTGAATTTTTGTGTCGGAAAAAAATGATTGGTAAATTAAAATAAGAAATTACCTAACGAAAAAAATCATATAATTAAATTAACCAATTAAATATTAGTTAGTATTTTATGTGATCTTGGTGATCCAAAAGTGGTTATTCAAGATTATTCAAGATTCTTAGGGCTTTTAATTTTTTTAATTTCATTTCTAAAAATATTTCAAAAACAAAATCTTAATTATTTTTTGGGCCTCACGAGACACGAGGTATGCCCCATCAAAATAATATAATATATTATGATCGAATAAAAAAATAATTAAGCATAATTTTTGTTAGATAAAAATATATCAAATCTGAACCGATCTAAGTGCTAAAAAAATAAATATTTTTTTTAAATAAATATATTCCAATAAAATCAGAACCTAGAAATACCCATTGATAGTTGTTTAATATTTTCTTAGAAAACAATTTATAGAAAGATACCGATTTTTGAATTAAAAAAAACAATTGATTAGGGAAATAAACAAGAGAAATGTTTAAGGTTAATCCATGTATTGGTGGGGCAAGCAATCATTATGATTAGTTTTATAAATCAATTAATTAAGCACCACTACCAATTTCATGTTCATAATTCAATTCCGTCATCATCATTTCCATATATACTAAATTTCCATAGAAGATTTGCTTAGCCAATAAAAGATAACAAAAAAAAAGAAGATAAGATATAACTAACATTGAAACCATTAAAAAAATCCAAAATTTACCTCATTCGCATATTTTTTCTATATTATTTCGACTTAATAAAATTTATCTGTATTTATATTGTTATGAAAAAATTTGATTGGAGAAAAAAAATGTGAGATTAATTTATGATTTTGAGCCTTTAATGTAAATCCACAATTTTTCACAATGTAAAAATGTAATGGGCCTACATTTTTGGGTTTCAAATACGAGGCCCATTATAGCCCAGGAAACTCAACAGTCGTTCTTAAGGCGGCGGCGATGTATACACAAACAATAGGGCTTCATGTCTATTTCCATTTGAAAGGATGGAGCTTCGTCTTTTGATCTTCGATTCGTTTTCGGTTTGATCTCTTTTTGGGGATTTACATGCGTTTCGGTTTGAAACCCAATATTTTCCTGACAATTTTTGCTTTTCGTTTCCATCTTGGTGGTGAAAAGACGGAACCTTTTCGTTGAGCAGTTGCATCTGGAATCTCCGCCATACGTGCATGCACTTGTTGAAGTTCTTTCTCGGAATGGCGTGGCTACCCATTTGCGTAGACGCGGCGAATGATCAGATCTGAGTGTCTCATTGTTCAATCTCTCTTAGGGTTTTTTGTTTTCGTAGAGATCGGTTTTGGGTACTTAGTTTTTGACGTTGCATTCTATTGCACGTCTTCAGTTTCAGTTGCAAGTGTCTGGAAAATGGGTTTTGCTTTGGATATCTCCTATCCAGTGCTTTAGATCATTTTCTGTGGTTATACCCTATTGTTCATTTTCTGTGTCTTTGTTTGGTGTTGTTCCATGCCCTTTGAGAAAGGTATTAGATCTGGGAATGAGCAGCTTTTACAGTTCTCATTCTTGGTTTAGCCCTCTCTTCGTGCTTGAAACTTTGATTTTCTCTCTGCTCTTAAAAAGTCATGATCTTTGGTAGTAAGCCTTACTTGCCCAGTGATGTAGATTAAACTGTCTCGAGTGTTGCCCTGGTTTCACAGTTAGCCTTTCTGCTTACCATTGCAGGCCTCATCATCATCATCATCATCTTCTTCTTCTTCTTCTTCTTCTTACCGTTATTATTATTATTATTATTATTGGTAACGGCGGGGCTAGCTTTGAAACCGGATCAAGATGCGGCACTAATGACAGATATGTAATCTTTTCGAACTGAGGGCCTTCCTTTTGTAAACGTCGTTGGTTTTGGTCGCTGTCTATGTGAACCCTTTTGGTTTTTGAGATGCATTCATGCTTTTGCTTCATATTTTGTTTTGTGGTTATTTTCATTTCTAAGTTGAGGTATAATGAGGCGATCTTCAATGGATTGCAGAGCCTAGAAAGCTGTGTTTTTACCTGTTTAATGTCACTTCTGCTGTGAATGATTTTATCTTGTGTAAGTACTTGGATGAGTGTTGAGTGTCTTATGAGGTACATTAGTTGTTTTTTTTCCCCGTTTCTTATTCTAACATTGGAACTGCATTTGACCATGGCTTGTAATCTTTAGGTGAATATGTTGTTCCTGTCCCGGGACACTTGCCCTGTGATGAGAGCTCAGTTGAACTTTTCGAGTGGTGCCACCGGTCTTTTTCTTGTGTCGAGCCTCTCTTTCCGTCTTCACCACTGCTGCTAGCAGCCATCTCTCTCTGAACCGATTGCAGATATTGTGTAAGTGTAAGTAGAACACCGGTTTCTTGGTTTTATTTGATCATTTTTGCAGGAATCTCTACAAATATGTTCAGTTTTTGTGTTTGAGTTATGGTAATGTGGGCTTTTCCTCTCTGTTGATTTAGAAAAAATGAAGGGTAAATGCATGCTTAGATTTTATAGGAGCATAAGAAAACTAATGAGAAGATGTCGTTGACGTAGCAGAAATAGAACTCATCACTTGAGAAGCCGATCTTTGATAGCATGTTGTTTTTGCCCGTTGATGTAAACTCATGGATCTTGAGTGGTGCCCTGGTTTCATTGGTAGTCTTCGTGGTTACCATTGTGATGCTTACCGTCACCATCATCGTCATCATCACCATCATCATCTGATCATCATCAACAACAACAACAACAACATCATCATCGCCACCACTGTTCTTCTTCTTCTTCTTCTTCTTCTTCTTCTTCTTCTGCTGCTTATATATGTACCTACTGGTGCAAGTTTTTGGTCAGTATTTGCAATGGTGACTGCCTAGCTAGTTTTGAAACCGGATTTTGATGCGCCACATATGACTGCTGATCCACATATATATGAGAACTGAGGGTATTATTGCTTTTGCATGTTTTTTCTTTCTGACACTTAGATCACACTTGATGTTGTTTGCCATTCATGTTTTTACTTGTTTGGCTTTGGATCTTGCTTAGTATGCTTCTTCGTTTTTTGGTAGATGTTAGAGAGTATGTTTTGAGACTAAGGAGAGATTCACCCAATGATAAAGTTAATCTCTGATACCCGAGTGGTGCCACCAGTTCTCTCCTGTCTGAAGCCCCTCTTGCCCACCTTCACCACTGCTCTCTCTCTCTCTCTCTCTCTCTCTCTCTCTCTCTCTATCTATCTATCTATATATACACACACACATATATATGCAGTGGTGGTGGTGAGAGTGGTAGGAGGCTGTGCGTAGAGAACTGGTCTGATGCGCCATGGATGATGGTGATGACTCATAACTATGAGATCTGAGGGTGTGCATTCTTTTTCTTGGTTCCCTTTTGTGTCCTTGGTCTTGTACTACAATCCCCTGTCTGGTCAAGATCTTGGAAAGTGTTGTTCTTGATCTTGTTCCATCCGCTTTTCATAAAAAAAAAAATCTCTTTTGGTGGGCAGGAGGAGAACTCAAGTTCCATGGATGGATGGAGAGAGGAACCTCTCAAGTGTAACAGAAAGTTTCAAGGTTCTACCAAAGGGAACTCCATTTTCTTGTTTATGATTCTTTGATTTGGTGTTGGGTGAATTCTTTGTCTGAGATTTTCTTGAGAGGCCCACACATTCATGTACTTGTTGTAATGATTTTCTTTTGCATTATGTGAACCCATATCAAGATTTTATTTAGGACTAAGCATGAAATGATTCATGGCTACTTGAGTTTTTTTTATTAGTTCTGTAATTTTTTTTTTCTATAAAAATTTCATCTCCCTAAAAAAAATAAGGTGATGGTCCGCGGTCCAATGGGCCATTACGGCCCATTTAGACAATAAGAATATATTGTCATGGGCCAAACCGGTTGGGCCGATCTGTTCAGGCTGTTACCCCAAATTTCTTTTAGTATAATTATTATTATTTTGGTAAAATGAATAAACAAATTAATTTTATATATTTTAATTTAATTTGTAAGTTGAATTTATTCTGGTTTAATATTTTATTTTTGTATATCCAGCTTTGAGCTTTTACCATTTCTAAATAAAGTATAAAAATAAAAAAAATTTAAAGAAATATAAATGAAACAGGGCATTAAAATATTTGTGTGGAATTATTATCAATGATAACAGACAAATTGGTGACTCAGCCCATACCCATACAGGCAGCAGCGACAGGGACAATTTCGGAACTATAAAAATTATTCCATCTTCTTCTTCTCCCAATAACGACTCTGCTCCCCTGACTTTTTCCATTTTGCCCCTCAACTTTTCCCTAAATTTCGATCGAGCCCCTCCTCCTCGTCCTCTCGCCGGAGAAAATGGAGTCGTCGCCGATCTACCGGCTTCCTCAGGACACGCTCCACCAGATCTTCTCGTCTCTGCGTCTCCGCGAGATCGTGATCTGCCGATCTGTATGTAAGTTCTTCAACCAGCTATTGACCTCGCCGTGTTTTATGGAGATAATCTCCTCTCGACCGCCGTTGAATCTCCTCGCTCTCCGTCCACCGCATCACCACCACCACCACCATGGTCACAGCCACCGTCGCGACGGACAATCGGCGAATCTCCGGCCGTTCATCCACATCTACGATCCGGAGCAGGACGAGTGGTTCAGATTTAGCCTCGATTTCCTCCCTTTCCGATCTCCGCAGCCTGTCGCGTCTTCCGGCGGGTTGATTTACCTCTGGGCTGACTCTCTTGACTCGTCCGAGTCCAGCAAGTCGCTCGTCGCATGCAACCCGCTGACTCGCCAGTTCAAGGTGCTGCCGCAGCTCGGCTCGGCGTGGTCGAGGCATGGCTCCGTCCTGGTTGACTCGGTTAACCGAGTCATGGTGCTAACCGAGCTCGCCGCGCTGTATTACTCAGGTACGATCGTCGCTGACCAGTGGATGAAGTTCTCTTCGAATTTGCCGTCGAAACCTAGGAGCCCTGTGTTATTGTCGAACTCGGTCTTTGCCTTATGCGACGTGGGGTCGCCATGGAGAAGTCAGTGGAAGCTTTTCTCGTGTAAATTGACAAACCTTACAGTAACTCACACCAACTGGGTATGCTTAGAGAAGCATGAATGGGGTGACATATTAGACATCATAAAGCGACCTCGATTGCTGCGTGGAAATGGCGATTCGAGATTGCTGATGATCGGTGGGCTTAAGTCTACATTCTCGTTGAACCCAGCTTGTTCAACGATTCTGATTCTGAGGCTGGATTTAGACAAATTGGAGTGGGAAGAGGCAGGAAGAATGCCTATCGATATGTACCGATGTTTTCAAGAATCGAGCAAGTTCAAAGTGTTTGGAGGTGGTGATAGTGTTTACTTCTCTGCCAAAAGGATGGGGAAATTGGCGATGTGGGATTGCTTGGAAGGATGGAGATGGATTGATGGCGTCACTGGATATGCAGATGGGTTGTGTCGTGGGTTTGTTCTCAATGCCAAACTCACATCGATGCCATGAAAGGTTCGTGCTTGCCCTTACTTCCCTCTCCTTCTGTTCCAAATCCAATTGTTTTCCTGTGATTGTTCTGTCCTCCTTGTTGGTTTTGTGAACCATTATCGTCCGACGTGTTTGCTTCTTTATGTTGCCTTCTTGTTTCATCTTCAATGCTGCTGTTGTATCGGAACTTTGTTAAGATTGTTAATGCAATGCTCTTATATCGCTTCTCCGACATTGTTTCCATTTAACTGATCTTCACAAGTTTGAATTCGTTCCGTAGTTTAAAAGGCATTGATGGCGAAATTCTCCAAGATGTATGTGGTTTTCATTTGAACTTAGAACACACTATTGTGTTTGGTAATAGATGACTTCCATATTGCATCTATGATCTTGGTTTGTTCGCTTGTCCGGAAGTTCTTCACGGGATCATAGAATTTGCCAACTCCATAGAGTTCATTTCGGATTCGGTCGTTGAAGGTTCAAAGGACTAAGGTTGGACACTGATTCGTCATCTTGGGTATCCAATCCTGAATCCGTGATTTTTTGGTTTTGGGATTTGGAACCCATGGTCGTATCCATACTTTTCGGGTATCTACAGATACCCCAAATATTCGGGTATCGAGGTTATCTAGCTTGTAAATACCCCAAATGTTCGGGTATTGAGGTAATCTAGCGTGCGAATGCGAGAGAGATTGCGTCATGGGCAAATGAGAGAGGCTAGGGGTGAAGAGACATGGTACAACAAGGTCGAGGCATCAAAGGCGGAGGTTACACGAGACGAAGAGCACACACCCTCAACCTAATCTTAATCCAAGATGATGGAGGTAAGACGAGTATCGATAGATATATGTAATCACCCAAACCCTAATCCAATATCGTCTCCGATAAAGGATCATATTAGTCGTCTAGGTGGATGAATGACCGATTTTTAGACAACCAATTCATTGACAACCATATCTTGGTCCAAGATATCCGGTTAACAAAAAAAAACATCTTCCGTGAAGACATAAAGATTACGTCAAAGAATTCATATACGTAGTACAAAAAGAATATAATTTTGTACTATGGTACTGTTTTTTACAAAGAATAATAAAATCATTTTTTTAATAAAAAAATGGTTATACAAAAATATTTTTTTTAGGAAATGTGGTTCCTACCACTCCCATTGATCCCCACTATCCATATAGAGAATCGTCAAGGAAAAAGAGGGACCATGATGTCACCACGCAATTTCTCACATGAAACTAACTTCGTTTCATCAGTCAACTTCTTCAACACTTTCACACTTTATACATAATTATACCATTTATTGATTATGGCATATTCATATTATATATATATATATGTATATGTATGTCTTTATATATGGACTAATAACTAGGGGTGATTTATTTGGTTGCTTTTCACTCACCAATTCCACAAAATCAAATCTATAAGAAACTAAAACCAAATAAAATTAAATTGAATTGAATTGAACCAAATCCATATAACCAAGATAAAAGTGATTAATTTTCATATTTGAGAAATACAACTCACATGATACACTAAATAGAATCATTATGACCAAACCAAACTAGTTACGTATATATATACATGTATATATATATATATGTATGTATCTATATATGCATACGTACTAGTGTGGTTTACGTCGTTAACAATTCCAACGTGCGTGCGTATGTGTGTCGGATGATGCGCGCGATAACTTGAAAATGACGAAAAGTGGACGATATTACGATTTGGTTTTTTACTTTCTGTTGTCAATCATTTTGCCCTTTCACGCACGCAATGTCTAAATTCATGCAAGGGGCATAATTCATATAATATATATATATATATGGATGTTAAATTAATTACTATTTTTTGGAAATTATTATATTACTTTGGGACCTAAACTTTTATTTACACGAATATATTCTTTTTCTAGTATTATATGGAAAAAAAACCAATGCGTGATTCCCATGAACCACATACGGATTCCACGTACTTATCATGCAAGGCTAACTCTCATCAACTAAAGGTAAGGGTATATATATATTAGTATCTTTTATCAAAATCTATAATCTAGATTCCACAATAAAATCTTTCTAAATTTTTAGTGTCTTTTTCTTTGCAACATTATATTATGATTTTCCTTTTTTATTCTTTTTCCTATATATATATATATATATTATTAACATAATAAAAAATCTAATATTAAAAAACTAATTAAAAATTAAATTAAAGTTTAAGTAAATACCATCTCTTTTTGCCTCTTATATATATATATATATATATATATATATTAGTTGCGAATGTCGGACGAAAATTCACAAATTCAATGTACTTACATTGTTGCGAGTGGATTATAATTAATTTATAAGTAAAGAATTCATATTTTATCATCATTTTCATTTATAAAGTTGCCAATTTTTACTATTTTTTTATTCTTTCTTCTAATATATACATTACGGTTAGGTAAGAGGCGTGATTTTGACGTTAAAAAATGATTGCAACGGAGCCGTGCGATGAGCGCATAGTGAACCATTATTTCGTCTTTTACATTACGATTGCGAATGTTGTGTAAAAATCTCAAAATCAATGTACTAATATTTGTTACGACCGGATTATAATTCATTTATAAATAATTTTAAAGTAAATCTGGAATCTCAAATTAAAAATTGATATATAAAAATCTATATGGACACGTAAATCTATCCAGTTTAATAAAATTTTAATAATGATTCGGTTTTTATTCTAAATCAATAAGAATATAAGATGAGAAATCAATAACATAGAACACAATTGTTCTTTACAATTAAGTCGGGTTTTATGATTTTTAGAGTTTTGATAACATATTAATAATATCCGTTATTTGCACATATTAACTTTCCATAATTAACTGCACATTTTTATAATTATTTATATAACCCATAAGAAGAGGGTGGATTACAAAGCATGGTCAAACATTGAAATAAACTCTGACTAAAATTTCATATGTAAATTTTGGAAGATTTTAAAACCCTCAGCAATATATATGATCCCAAAAATCTACAATTTTATTATGGATAAAATTTTCATTTCAATGATTATTACTTTGTTTTTTTTCTATGAATCTTGCTTCGGAATGAATTTTTTATAGTGTAATAGTTTTGTTTAGATGTAGGTTCACTTTTGTTATTTCATATATAAATTCTTTGTTTTTTTTTTTAAAAAAAAATTATATAATTTCGGACTTAATTTTGAATTATAAAAATGATAACCCCACCGACTTCTATTGCCACGTCACCGGGGGCCTTGGGAAGACACGATGTTTTTAGCCAATCAAAATAAAGCACGTGTGTCACGCTGTCATTGTACGGAAACACGGTCTCCCGGACGGTGACCACCGTTTCCCTCACCGACCGTCAGCGGCCACTTCTCGCCCAGTGGAACGAGGAGTGGTTTCTGCCCGCACGACCATGGCATTTTCGTAATTTACTCTCTCGCTGTTTGGGCTTTACAAATTACAGCCTAATAAGACCTATATTTATTACAATAATATAAAAAAATCACCTAAATTTTAGAATCACATAAATTGGTAAAAATGGTTAATAATATTTTTAAGACTATCTAGAAAAGTTTATAATAATTTAAAAAGAAATCTTCTTTAAATTCTTTTTGGGCAGTTAATAATCTGAAGTCTGAACTCGTTTTTATAACTTTTCCTTGCAGGTTTAACTAATTGTATTTTACAAAAAGATTTAACTAATATTTGAAATATACATATATATATATATATTAAGAAAATCTAAATTCATGTTACATTTCTTCCGAATTTGGAATACGCATCATGGTGGATATAGGATTAAAGGGATTCATACAAAAAGTATAGAGTTTTTATTGGTTGTCTTAAAGTTTAAAATTTATCTGTAAATTTTATTAATTTTATATTTTTATAGAATATTTTCGAATTAAATGTATCGAAATTTTATGAATTGCTGTGAGAAAAATGAATCTAAATTAAATTATTTGTATCTGTCAATAAATAAAACGAACATAAATTAGGTGTATTAATTTAGTTAGTGTACTCTCATAAATGTTGGTTTTTAGGTAATTTTAATAGGGCAATATGGTCATTCACTGTTTAACTTGGGGGGCCAATGGCAAATGCAGAACCCTATCCATTTCGGGTTTTATATTATTTCTTTTCCATCTATCCTGACATTCGCCGAAGATTTCTCTCATGCTTCTTTTCCGTCACTGCTCCATATTACGGATATACCCCTACTTTTCCTTTAAATCTCTAGGAATACCCCTCTTTTCTCCTTGAGATTCTAAACAACGGTCAAAGATCCTCTCCTCTCTACTGATCAAAGCCAGAAATTTTCTCTAACCGAAACTTTCTCGCAGTTTCCCGGACTCTCTGCTTTGGAGCTCCGTCGCCGCCGGCGGGGAGAGAGAAACATGGAGGAGGAGCGGTCGAGCACCGTGGATTTGACCGAGGGAGTCGGAGAGAGTTCGTCACCGCCGCGGAGCGTGAGCAGTTCGAAGACTTATGACGTCAGGACCGAAGTCTTCAGACGTTTGGTAGAGACTGGAAGCGACGAAGTTATCGGAAATCCTCATTTCAAGGACTTGTTGGATGCTCACTTCGATCGCTTCCCTTCTAGGTGCGGTTTCTCCGATTCCGATTTTGCTTCCAAAGCTAATAGGACTATGTTCTTGATTTCAGAATCGCTTTGCCTATCTATTCGTGTTTGTGTTTCGCCTTTGTTGATGATTTTTAGGCGTGAAAGCAAGTTTATGGTTTTGATTTCATTCAGACCTCAATTTCATGAAGTTTTTGAGCCTGAAATTGTTGTAAATCCATTTGCTTATGTATATGCATTTCTTGTACCAGGAACTACTCATCTGAACTGACATTAATTGGCGAATTCTTTTTCCTCGGTGATTAGGATTTGAGATTTTCAAAATGGATGCTGTTCTTATTCTAGATTCAGTTTAATTAGCAAATTCTTTTTCCATGATTATTAGGATTTGAGGTTTTAAAAATGGATGCTGTTCTTATTCTAGATTCATTTTAATTAGCAGTTTCTTTTTTGCACGGTGATTAGGATTTGAGATTTTCAAAATAGTTGCTGTTTTTATTCTAGATTCAGTTCCTTGTTGGAGTGTATTTTTCCTCTTATAGGTCTCTCGATAGGGTAAGACTATGAGTCTAGAGTTTTGATGTGGGAATTATGAGGAATCCAAGTATTTCCTGTTTTGTCCACTGGATTTTTTTGGGGCCTGATCAAGTTGCTAATAAAATATAGATTTATGGTGAAATTTGCTAAATAGTTAACATATTTGTGTTCTGCTTCTTTAATCAGCTATGCGTTTGATGTTAACTTGGGTCAAGTGGACGATGTTTTGTTACACATGAAAGTTCTTGCACTGGCGAGGGACCCCAATAGCCGACCTGTCTATGAGATTCGATTTCTGGAGGTACTTCTTTTACTTGGTCTGTTATGGCAAGTCTGATTGATTTGGTATCCATGCTACTGTTTCTCTTTTCCTTCTCTTGCTCTTCTCATGCTTGTCTAATTTATTACAGGATGTTGATGCCAATGGAGATCAACATTCTGAAAACTTCACTGGTGTCTCAAGCTCTAAGGCGGATAATGATGGAACTGTATCATCACGTGCAAGGTATGCTTAGGTATGCATATATTCATTCATATATGCGACTAGTTTGGTCATATAATTGCATTCCTGGCTTCTCTAGGAATCTAGGATATTTAGTTTTAGGTGAAGCATATCGTTTTCGTTTACATTTTTAAATAGACATGAAAGAATAATTCTACTAAAGTCTGTATTTACACCATTCTGTATAGAACTAGAGATTCTGCAATTGCATTTGAACCTTGCTCTAAGCTTGAGGACCTGAATCTGGATGTCAGAGACAGAGATAAAGCTAACGTCGTAGAAGAGCACTTGGCAGAGTCATCCTCTAGAAGGTACCTTCTTACTCCAGAAGTGAAATATTTTTTAGATTTATGCATAAATATGCAGTTTTGTTAAGGGAGAAAGAAAAATAGAAAACATCTGATTAACTTCTGTCAAAAACATTGCAGGCAACGCATGCCGATTTATGAAGTGATTTTCTCTAGCATTGACAAGCCAAAGCTTCTTAGTCAGGTATGTTGCTTATAGTTTTTCTTCCAACGTCCTTAAGAGGTGAATTTTATGCATTTTTGTTTGAGCATTTTCTTTATTTGGATTTTGTAATCTTCAGCTGACGAAAGAGTTGGGGCATATATTTTTTTCCTTACCTTTTCTCGAATCTTGTTTCACTCTGGTCATTTTGTTTAAATTGAGGTATCACCTGCCATCTATTACTAGTCTTTTCCGGCGAGAGCAAATCAAAGAATGAATTAATGAAAAAATAATTAAGGGAAAAGATATACAAGAAGAGTGTAGTAAATAATCCAAAAGTCTGGATGTTTACTGTAAACTTGGGGTCTATTTTTGTCTGCTTAGATAATTTCATGTTGCCGACCCCAAATAAATTTAGGATTAAGGTGTTGTTGTTGTTAGATAATTTCATGTTGTTACAGTTAAGCTTATTATGCATGGCATTTTGTTTTTGGTTTTGTGGAACTTCCCTCCGGTTTCAATATTCATTTCTTTGCGTTGGATATTACAGTATACCTGATAATTCATCCACGATGCTGTGCAACTTCTCTAATTCCTATCACAGTGTGCTGATAAAATGTGTATGTGAAGCTTTGCAACACACTTAAGAAATCCATAGATCTGCATTATTTTGCATCAAGAGACACATTTTTACCCGAACAATCCGACAGTCCAAGAGTTATTTTATCGTACCTTTTGTCAAGGTGGTTGGCACTTGGCAGTACTTTTTACTGATGTCCACTAATAGATGAATTCTGTACAGTAGAACGAAAATTATGTCTTGTATATTCATTGTTGACATTGCGTAGTCCTTGCATGTTGGTGAATTGGAACCAGGTTTTGATAACAATATGTTCTTATCGAGTTTGAATGCATCAAGGCTGTGAATTGCTTCTAACTTGGTTCGGTTATCTCCTAGCTTTCTGCTCTGCTCTCTAACATTGGACTTGACATCCGTGAGGCTCATGTGTTCTCAACTAATGACGGTTACTCGTTGGATGTGTTTGTCGTGGAGGGGTGGCCTGCCAAGGTATTATCACCAAACCGTGACTTTTTCATGCTTCATTTTCATTTGTTTCTTATTTGCAGTTGCATACTCTGAAAGTAATCTTTCAGCATGAAGAACATACAATTTTGTAATTACATTTGTGTTAATCATAAAATGCACTTGTTTACAGCATTCTATCTACTGCTTGCAGCTGTTGTTAGTAGTTGTTGGGGTTCAATTTAAAGTTACTTTTCTCACTAGTTACTTCTTGCTCTTACCATGAATTTTTTTGCTGTAGCTGGAACCTGAAATCGAAATGTTATTTTGGTACATGTAAACAGTAATTTTGCATCTCATGCCGAGTTAACATGTTCTGACTTTGGAATGTTATGAACAGGGTACTCATGCTCTATATCAGGCAGTTGGAGATGCAATAGCTGGAAGTAAGGTAAATTGCCTCGCCTGTTACTTGCTGTTGTTCTACTCTCTTCTTGTATTTACTTGATTTCATTTGATGCTGGAACCATGTAAGACCTTTGGTGGTTCACACATTCTCTTTCATCCAACATCTATAACCCACCGTCGTCTAATCTTAGGAAACGTCTTGACGCTGATGTCACGTCTTTTCTGGATGTAAAGGTATTGTCTGTAGCAGAAGAACACCCTGCAGAATGGGATATTGAGATGAGAATTCTGAAGATAGGAGAGAAAATAAGTGCCGGCTCCTGTGCAGATCTGTGAGTGGCTCTCATGTTTCAGTTTTTTCTTTTCTACTTTTTCTCCACCATTATTTTCATGTTTTTAAAAGTATCATTTTTTACTGAAGCTATCGAGGGAAATACTTTGATCAAGATGTTGCCATCAAAATGCTGAGATATGAGAATTTGAATGATAAACTTGAACAAGAATTTTTCCAGGAGGTGTCTATTATGAGGTAACAAGTAGTCCTTTTGTACCAGACATTTACTCATTTAGAGGCTTTTTGTATCTTCATCTAGAACCTGATGAAAATCCGGTTATTCAGTTTTCAGATGGTTTTATATATTTAAGATTTTTATTCTCATTGGCTGCAGAGAGATTCAACATGGAAACATAGTTCACTTTATCGGTGCTTCCACAAAGCATCCTCGTCTATGGATAGTTACAGGTATGGGTTTGTGTTCTAAAAAATGACTGTTTTCTGTTTAATACGGGTTTGCATTTTCAGCTCTTACAACATAGTATATGTTAGGCATGCATTTCATCCCGTGATTCATGAGTCAGTTTGCTATTGAGTCCTAGGTTTAAATGCTGCTTCACGTCACGGAATGCATTTCATGGTCCGTGTCCCTAAACTGCAGAGTATATGCCCGGAGGAAGTCTTTATGATTATCTGCACAAGCATCATAAGGTCTTGAAGTTGTCTCAGCTTCTGAAGTTTGCAATTGATGTTTGCAAGGGAATGGAGTACTTGCATCAAAATAAAATCATTCACAGGGATCTAAAGACGGCGAATTTGCTATTGGATACTAATGAAGTAAGAACCTTAAGATGACTTCATCGAGTTAATTCATCTTCACGCATTTTGTTTTTTCCTACACTATAACCGAACTGATTTCTTCTTTGCAATTGGTAAATTGGAAACTGATTTTCCAATCTAGCACATCGTTTCACAGGATTGGATTATCCAAATGATGTGAAACCGGTTTGTGTTAATCCATGTAGCATCTCTATTTAGTGATGATTATTCGTTTGGTTGACTAACAAGATTTGCATTACTCTCCTCGAGTTGAATTATTTCCTCCTTTTACTCGTTTCTTCGTGTTTAAAAGGTTGTTAAGATAGCGGATTTTGGTATTGCTCGGTACGTAAGCGAGGAGGGAGTGATGACCGCAGAGACAGGAACATATCGGTGGATGGCGCCAGAAGTAGGCCATTCTCCATTCCATAGCATCGCCATTGATAATCTTCCGTGCTTGTTAAATGCATATTCTCTAACATATATGGCTTTCGTTTATACAAAAGGTAATGAATCATCTTCCTTACGATCACAAAGCAGACGTGTTCAGCTTTGGTATCGTGCTATGGGAACTACTAACGGCTAAGGTATTATCTCGCCCTTTTACATATCCCTCTTATAAATTTATATCATTCACAAGGATTTACTAATACAGTTTTAACGACATTCTTTAGGTTCCTTACGAATCCATGTCTCCGCTACAAGCTGCAGTAGGTGTCAGACAGGTGATCTTCTCCCTCGTTAAAACTCTGAATTGTTCAGACATTACGGTCTGTCTTTGCTAATGTCGCCGGGAAATGAAGCAATTTTTTATAACTTTAACTCAGGGGCTACGGCCGACAATTCCCGAGGATACGCACCCGAGCCTCGCACAGCTAATGCAGAGATGCTGGGATGCTGATCCTGGCGAGAGGCCTCCATTCTCCGAGATAAAACTCGAGCTCAAGGCACTGATCTCTGAAGTTACGGTATGTTTTTAACGGTAATTTTCTCGATACTAGAGCCCGAGAATCACGCTCTAATATCCGACTCTCTCGACTACGCGTTTGCAGGACTCCCACGAATCAAATGACGTCTGAACTTTAACCGGTGAAAATACATATACTCTACGTTAACCATTTACATGCCTCAGATACTCTTTTCTTCTCTTCTCGTCTTTTTTGCCGGCTTCATGTGAATGGTTATAGAGATTACGAAAGTTGTAAAGCAAAGGAGATGAAGATTTCTTTTTTTTTTGAAAAAAAGAAAAAGACTTTTAACGGAGGGCGAGAAGAGTGAGTGAGTTTTTTTTTTGTGTTTACTTTTTGTAGACACGTTCACATTATCTGTCTCAAGACCTTGCTTTTCTACGAGCACATAGGAAGACCCCCCCCCCACAAAGGTACATAATCGTTCTTTTTTGTTTTGTTCTCTGTTCATATCCTTACCACCAAAATGTAATATGCATTTGCTTTTGCATCTAGTTATGGTGGTCCATGGTTGTTTTGTGCGAAAATAGAGTTTCTTTTCCTTTAAGCTTTACTATTGAATTGTTGATCCATCACATTGACTTTGACTCGATGGACATTACACATTAGAGTTCACAAAGTAAAGTTTTGTTATCCGAATTCCAATCTTGCATGTACAGACGGGTAATTATATGTTTAAAAGATTAAGGGTAATTATGAAAATTGTTCAAAAGATTAAGGGTAATTATATGTTTTCAACAAATGGTAATGGTTTTCTTGACCTCGCCCCTTGGTTTCTCAACCTCGACTACGGATCGGGTACACACGGTTTTTTTTTATATCAAATCTGGAAATTAGGGATTTAGAGACATTTATGAATATTTGATGTAACCTCTAATTTACTTATTTAGTTGAGATTCTCATATACTCATAGTTCATTTGATTATTAATAAAAGATCATATCATTTCGTATATTTCATAATATTCTATCTCAAACATCACCCCTTTAGTTTTCTTGATCAGATAATCTATCTCAGTCTCGTAAAGGTTGGATATTCAAGTTTTGGATATTTGATGTGCCACAAAGATTTGGATATTCAGCGAGTAGTCGATCGGCGAACGACCAAGACAAGCCAAATGAGTTGCCTCATTCAATGATATGAGGAAAGAGTTGATCTAATGAGGCGAGAATTCGAGAAATGGCGAGAAAGAAAAGAAGCAAAATGGTCGAGAAAAAAGGCGAGGGAAGACTTGCTCAATGTTTGAGGAGCATGAAGGTCGAAGGCTCGTCGAAAGACGAGGTGTGAAGTATAGAGGTGAGGCGAGAGCTAAGCAGCAAGCCTCGTCTCCGTCTCTATATTTTTTTTTCAAATTTGTCTCGGATTTTTGTAAAAAAAAACTCTATCCTAAATATTTAAAATATTTAACCATACCTATCTCTAAAAAAATCAACATCTTCACCATTCCCTTGCTCGCCTCCTCCCTACCTCGTCCCCTTTTGTTCTCTCCCTCCATGTATCACAAAATAAAAAAAAATGAATAATCGTTTGATGAAACCTGAATTCGAATTCAAAGGTCGAGTTTTCATCATCCTGAATTTCGTATTTATCTATCAGTGGATGAATACCTCAATCAAAATTTTTTTTGATAATATGTGATTGACAGGACGAGGGTTTGAACTCTGGGTGTAGAAAGCGCTTTGTGCTTCCACAACTACCAGACCATCCCCACCTCTCAATCAAATTTTGAGTATTGGATTCGTGGGTTTGAAAGATATTCGAAATTTTAAATCTTATTTTTATAATTTTATCAAATATTTTTAATAAATCAATTCGTATTCGAGGTTACGAGCATTACGCACACATTATTCGGAATTGACTTGTATAGTTTAGACACTCGGTTTTGGATAAGTTTTTGGTCGGGTCAGATACCCTAAAGGAAAGAAGAACTAAAACGACAGGGCAACGAATCGAGATATAAAGACTATAAAGACAATATAATAACAAATATAAACGAGGACGACGACGACAAAACAGATTCTTCCAATGGGTTACTAAAGCGATATTTCCACCAAACGCTGTCACGCATATTGCACGAATTTGGTATTTAATTTGGTATTTGGTATTTGTCATCCTCAATATGAGTTCATATATATATATATATATCGATGCTTTAACAATAATCTCATACTGAAAAAACTGGCCTATATAGAAACAATGTGTGTGTATGTCTTTGTTTGTGTTTTAGGTTGAATGGCGAGTTAATGTTGTGTAAGATGAATAAAACTCATGCCCCAATTATTAGATTTTTTTTTTATTTATTTCTCAAAATTATGAGCTTAAATCATATTTTTGAGTATTTGTGTGTAAATGAATACATTTTCACAAAAGAGAAAAAAAAAAACTGTGGACCGTGGTATTTTATTGCGAAATGGAGAATATTATTCCAAAATTGTCAAAAATATTTATATTTTTATAATGATAATTGCTCTACATAATTATTTTAGCGTGGAAATGGTTTTTGTCTTTTCTATTTCCCCTTAAAATCGAAATGATGATTGCATGAGGATATGCATCATGGACCTCGCCAAATAATTTTTTATAATTAACGAAAGACTAATCATGGATATGCTCCAATAAATCCAAATAAACCTTCATTTTTAACAAAATATAAAAAAAACCCTTAATTTATAAAATAACATCCATTGAGTCTCAATATCAACAAATTTATAAATAAATGTTAAAATTGTGTAAAAACAAATCTTAAAAATTGTTATTTTTATTCAATTATCATAATAGAATTATACTTTTTTGCTATCTTTTTTTTCTATATTTTTTATGTTTTATTGAGATGCATAGATAATTGATGATTTAAATTTTCTAAAAATCAAAGGCGTTTTTTGGATTTTTAAATTGAATATTTATTTGGATTGATTTATATTTTGAGATTTAAATGTTTTTTTAAGTTGAAGTTTATCTTTTGAATGTTTTCTCTTATTAATATTTAATCATGTGATAAAACTATGGATAGAATACTGAATTTGTAATAGTGGTTAGATTTGTTGAGAGGTCCATCGCTGATTTTAACCTCTTTGACAAAAAGATGAAACATTACTATTAAAGTGCTAATTGGGAATTTTTGTTTATAAAAGTCATACTTGTTATTGGACTTCCTTTGTGATTGGACCCGATGGGGCCATTATTTAGAAAATGTTATTGTTGGAGATATTTGATTTTACTTATTAGAGCATTAAAAAAATTAAATGAAACAAAAAATCTTCAAATAAAATTAAGAAATTTTGGAAATAAAAATGCAAACGGAGAAATATACATGTGAGCTATATATATATATATATATATATATATATACACACATCCCAAATAGCTAACGCTTATTTTTTTTTCTCTTTGACCCTTTTAAAACCTTAAGTTTCTCCAAAAGAGTAGAACAAAATGTATGCATATCATTTAACAAAAAAATTGTATACATATCAAATAATATGTGTATATATATATATATATGTGTGTGTTTATGTGTATATATGTATATATATATTCAAAAAATGATTTTTAAATTTAGAGCTTTATGTGCATAATATATAATTTATGGAGAGCAGGTGAGCTCTTCTTTATGTCTAATAATAATCCCGACACCTTCGCGAACACTTTGTAAAACACACGCAATAATCATCCCCATGCATCCAATCATATATTACCACGTGGCTATGTGGACCCACCTACGATCAGCGGTAGACCCGCCCGCATAAGATAATGTCTCGTTCGTACGTTCGTAAATTTTGAATCATAATTCATTTACAAAAAAGCATATTCGATTTCGTATGATATTATATATAAAATATTAATACGTCGGTCCAAATACAGTGATTCGATTTGCTTGGGGATCTATAGATGTTTCACGACGTAGAGAGTTCCCTGAGAGGAAAACTATATCATATACCTCTATACGATTTTTTTCAAATTTATATGTAACGACGGTCCATAAAAAAATCAAAAAAGATTTACATGAATCGGATCTACCGTCTTCGAATTCCACGTTTGCACGTAAGATATGGTTGACATATTTGGGATGAATCCACAGATGTGTTTATTACAACTTTATGTTCATTTTTAGACATTGTTTGCGTATAAGTTAATTATAGTTAGATGTTAATCTAAGTTAAATGCCCTAATTTACACTTGAAATGGATCTCAGACGAGTCTATAATAATAATAATAATAATAATAATAATGATAATAATAATAATAATAATAATAATAATAATAATAATAATAATAATAATAAAGTTTATCAACTGAATAAAACCTCACTATATTTTGGCATGTTAGTATTTTTGTGTTCATAGCATTTATGTAACTTTGCTACGAATTTTAACTAACGATAATATGGTCCAACAATTATTATCTATAACATATATTATCGTTTATTGAATAAATTTATCTAATTTCTCATGATAATATTATTCGCATAAGAAGAAAAGGACAAACAGAAGAGACGAATATGACGATTGGTCGAAGTAAAATAAAATTACTCGTAAAACTAATTGAAATTGTTATTTTCAAACTGAAATATATGGCGTAGATAATTACAAAATTAATGAAAAAACACGCACACACATATACTTACATATGTATATATGTGTGTATGTACATGTTCTCATTGTGAATAGACTATTGAAGAATATAGTCGTGACAGTAGAGAGACATAGGAAGTGGATGACAGATAATTCGTTAAAAATAATCATTACAATTTCTATTATAACCATGGAAATAAATTTTTCAATTGGAATATTATATATATTATGATTTAATTAAGCATTTTCCACTTGACCGATATGTAAGAGGTCAGAGTTGTACTGCACGTACCCGTAACCAAAACTCGTTATCGTGAGACCAATTCCTCCATTTATTTTCTAACTCTACGCGCTGATATAGAAAATACTCTAAATGCAACATTGTGACACACAAACATATAAAACATATATATATATATATATATATATATATGTATATATACTATTTTTATGCGAATTTACACGAATATTTTACAAGATAAAATTGGTTTCTTTCGCTTATATAAAAGCAAAATATGGTAAACGGTTTTCACATTTCATGAAATCACACACCTCGATCGACTATATTATAAGTTAGGAAATATCTCGACCATACAAGTATAACATATAGACAATAATTGTACCGAAAATCTTTAATCGTACCTATTAATTAATAAACAGAATACACCGTTTTACAAAAGAAAATCCATTAAAATTCAGAATCTTTATTGGTTCACGTGGTAACAAATCATGCACAATTTTTTTTCTATAAAAAATCAACAGATCAAACAATTCTAGTGACATATTTTCATAACAATTAATAGATCAAGAAAGAATAGTATTTTTTTTTTAAAAAGTCAACAAAAAAGACGATCTAGTGGGTACTGGCTATGATAATAAGACATACCATTTGTCGGATTCCTATCAGTAATCTTGTCGTTGTCATCGTTTAATGTTTGGTTATTAATATTATTATTATTATTTTGTTTAGTGAAAGTTCTAGGGTTATTATAATATATACGTAGTGGCTAATTACATAAAAGCCATATTTATTTTCCCATATAGATTTAGTGGTGAAAGGAGAAGCGAGAAAACATTTTATTTTATTGAGCAAAACAACCTTACAATATTCGAGAAATTTGAAGAAATAAAGGACGTAAACTTACAAATATATTATTGACGGATTGCATGCATGGAGGACCACGCTTGATTCAAAATAACACGTTTGAAAAAAAAAACATTACACAAACTTAGAAAAAGACATGTCGGAATTGGGAAACTTTTCCTCTTAGTGTATCTGCTTGACTTTTGTTCTTCGCTCTTGCCTCTTTTATTATTTCCGAAGGTTCTTGTGTACTTTCCTGAATCCCTGAAACGATATATGGACTTTTATTTTAGCATCATGAGGTAATAAAAATGCATTGGAATTCATCCGTTCACATGCTTGGGCGAATCTGTAAGTAAAATATGAGAGATTTTTACCATAATTTAGTATGATTAATAGTGGGGCGGAGGAGGTGGAGACGCGTAGACGTAGTGGTGGGGTGGTGGTGAGTAGACCGGAGGAGGTGGAGATTTGTATTCATAGTGTTTCTTAGGAGGTGGTGGAGAATGGTAAACCGGAGGGGGCATGTAGTGATGAACCGGTGGGGGTGGAGATTTGTATTCGTAGTGCTTCTTAGGAGGTGGTGGAGAATGGTAAACCGGAGGGGGCATGTAGTGGTGAACCGGTGGAGGAGGAGATTTGTACTCATAGTGTTTCTTGGGCGGTGGAGGAGAGTGGTAGACCGGGGTGTAATGGTGGACAGGTGGAGGTGGCGATTTGTATTCGTAGTGCTTCTTGGGTGGTGGAGGAGAGTGGTAGACCGGAGTGTAGTGGTGAACCGGTGGAGGAGGAGATTTGTATTCGTAGTGCTTCTTGGGTGGGGGAGGAGAGTGGTAGACCGGAGTGTAGTGATGAACCGGTGGGGGAGGAGATTTGTACTCGTAGTGCTTCTTGGGAGGCGGTGGAGAGTGGTAGACCGGAGTGTAGTGGTGAACCGGTGGGGGAGGAGATTTGTATTCGTAGTGCTTTTTGGGTGGGGGAGGAGAGTGGTAGACCGGAGTGTAGTGGTGAACCGGCGGAGGAGGAGATTTGTATTCGTAGTGTTTCTTGGGTGGTGGAGGAGAGTGGTAGACTGGAGTGTAATGATGAACCGGTGGGGGAGGAGACTTGTACTCATAGTGCTTCTTGGGTGGTGGAGGAGAGTGATAGACCGGGGTGTAGTGTTTCATCGGGGGAGGTGGAGATTTGTATTCATAATGCTTCTTGGGTGGCGGTGGAGAGTGGTAGACCGGGGTGTAGTGATGAACCGGTGGGGGAGGAGATTTGTATTCATAGTGTTTCTTGGGTGGTGGTGGGGAATGGTAAACCGGAGGGGGCATGTAGTGGTGAACAGGCGGAGGAGGAGACTTGTACTCGTAGTGCTTCTTGGGTGGTGGTGGGGAATGGTAAACGGGAGGGGGAGTGTAATGGTGAACCGGTGGAGGTGGAGATTTGTATTCGTAGTGCTTTTTCGGGGGAGGAGGAGGAGAGGAGTAGTAATAGTTGGCGGAGGCAAAGTCTAGAGAGATTGTAAAGACAAGCAAAGATGCTAAGAGAGAAGCCATTGATGGAGAACCCATCTTTTCCACAAGAGACAGGTTTTGGGTTTTGTGCTCTTTCTTTGTTCCCTTCACATCCTTTATATAGATTCTTGGATTTATCCTTTTCCCACTTTGATCCCTCGTGGTAAAAATTGCAATTTTTTATTTTACATTTTGTAATTTCCTACGTTACATGTTGTAACGAAAAATATATATATATAAAAAATCATACTAATTGAACATAAATAAATGAAGTTATTGGGTGTCTGAAAATGTATTATTTTCTAGCCGTCGATGTTTGACATATGCTGCATGTTGATACCATATCGAATCAAATCTATTGATTTTTTTTTTCTTTTCATGGAAAATTATATCTAAAGTTAACATAACATTAATATATTATTATTTGAGATAATTGATTGTATATAATCCTTATATAAACCCTTTAAATAAAACCATTGGACATAAGTCATTCAAAATACATGACTTTGAATTTTAATTTGATTTCAGCACTTGAAGATTTTTCCTCTTCTCCCATCATTTAGAAATATATTTATAAAAACTGAAAATAATATTTCAATAGATATGACTATAGTTTTGCATATTATCCATATTTCATCTCTCTCCACGGGCCGGCGACTTACCTTTTACACATACATTATATATATACATATATATGAAAGATTACTTTATTTAGGTGAGATAATTTCGAATTAAATTTTGTAAAATTACTGGAATAAGTCGGTCCAAATTATCTTATAACCGGCAATTTAGAGTACAATAGGGGATTTTTAAAGGCAAATTTTGTTGAATCCGCAGATGTGGGATTCAGAAATTCAGACAGAATATCCAAAAGAAAAGAAAATTTTTGAAGTGGGTTAAGTCGAGGCTTGTGTTAGACACAATCTCCTCAAGACGAAATTGCCCCGTTATCAAGTGGTTACGGTTTATGGCAATCGTCTCCAAGATACAACGACTTACGATTCTACAAAAGCACCACCTGCTTTAGAGAATCCAACGAACTACAAAAGTTCAGAACTCTTTAGAGAAAAGGTTTGAGAGTATTTCTTTCTAAAAGAAGAATGCACTCAGAAAAAATGGGATGCAGAAAATGATCCTATGGGCGCCCTATTTATAATATTCGGGGGTTGCTACGAAAACATGTGAAGGAAGAGGTTCCACCCTTTCAACCAGCGGTTCTAGCCGAATCGTTCCAAAAGGAAACGTTTCGTCAAGAACGCATTGGTTCGGAGCCCAACCGTCCCACATCGACGCGCAACTTTAAATTTTAAATCCCACATCGAAACGTTTTTCTCTGAATCAAATAGTCCCGAGTGGAACTTTCAATCCAAAGTTTAAACGTTCCGCTCGGGGAACTTTGCTCGTTTTTCTCCCAAGAGGAAGAAGTGGGACCAAGCATGTTTAGCTTTAGTCAACCTTGAGCTTGAACAATATTGACTCAAGGGGGGCTCTTTTTATAAGGAAGCTCCTTCCTTCCTCTTGGCCAAAACTTTAGATGTGGGACAAACATAAATATAAGGAAGCTTCCTTCCTTGTGCTTGTCATTTTTCCAATGTGGGACAAATGTTTTTCCTCCACATTTTTATATTTATTTTGTATAACCACATTTTAGAATTAATTTCTCATTCACCACAAATTGGTTTTAAGAAATTAATAACATTTTTCTAACAATCCCCCACATGAATGAAAATTAATGAATGCATAAAAACTGTTTATTCCAAAGAGTTCCGATGAATTATTATTGCATCGGGATGGTAGTTTTTTGCCTTGAACCTTCCTTAGTGAAATACTGTCGGGCATACTAACCAGTTGGTGGACGTGATGCCTTGAACCCCCCAGTTGTATAACATATACCAAGACAACCAGTATTCACACAATAACATTTCTAACTTTCGTTTTTGTTCTCATGTTCAGTATTCACACAATAATATTTCTAACTTTCGTTTTTGTTCTCATGTTGTTGTCCGTTTCGGCCATGGACCATATCTTGGATTCATAAGTGTGTTTTTTTTTCCTTATAGGAGCGGCCATCATAACTCCTCACTTATATAGGTGATCTTACCTACCGAACTTTATGTCGAAAGTATTCTGCTATACTCTACCTTATTTAAGGTGTAGGAATCATTAAGAATTCAATATGGAATTCAACCTCACCACGATACGCAGATTTTTCTTACACTTAGATTATCGCTTTAGGAATGAAATGGAAATAAGTTCCAAGTGTTCAACTGAACTTCCATAACTTGGTTTTCCCATTGAACCAAGATCTTGGGATCTCCAGTCAACAAGGTTGGGTTACCGCTATGGTCATTCTTTTAATTCGTGGATTTTAATCCCATTCCTCTCGATAACTTGTACAATTGATCTCGATTAAGGCCTTTCGTTAACGGATCTGCTAAGTTTTCCTTAGACTTAACATAATCTATGGTTATTACACCATTTGAGATCAATTGTCGGATGGTATTATGTCTACGACGTATATGTCGAGATTTACCATTGTACATACTATTTTGTGCCCTACCAATTGCTGATGTACTATCGCAATGTATCATAACAGCAGGCACGGGTTTGTTCCAACACGGAATATCTTCTAGAAAGTTACGAAGCCATTCAGCTTCTTCTCCAGCCTTATCTAAGGCTATAAACTCAGACTCCATTGTAGATCGAGCTATACATGTTTGCCTAGAAGATTTCCAGGAGATTGCTCCTCCACCGATGGTAAACACATAACCACTAGTGGCTTTGGAGTCATTAGTATCTGATATCCAATTCGCATCACTGTAACCTTCTAACACAGCTGGATATCTAGAATAACACAAACCATAATTTCGGGTATACTTTAAGTATCTAAGTACCCTTATCAAAGCTTTCCAGTGATCTTCGTTTGGATTACTTGTGAATCTACTCAAGTAGTTCACTGCATATGCAATATCAGGTCTAGTACAATTAGTTAGATACATCAAACTACCAATGATCCTTGCATATTCCACTTGAGAAACTGGATCTCCTCGATTTTTACCTAGATGACAACTAATGTCAACAGGTGTTCTAGCTGGAACACAATCAAACTGATTGAATTTCTTAAGAACAGTCTCAACATAGTGAGATTGTGATAAGAATATTCCTTCTGATCCTTTTAAAATCTTTATTCCTAGAATAACATCAGCTTGACCCATGTCTTTCATGTCAAAATGTTTATTCAACATCTTCTTTGTATTCATGATTATATCATGAGTACTTCCCAAGATTAACATATCGTCCACATATAAACATACAATGACGTATTCATTTGCATTATTTTTTAATGTAGACGCATTTATCACATTCGTTGATTTTAAATCCATTTGACAACATTGTTGTGTCAAATTTAGCATGCCACTGTTTAGGAGCTTGTTTTAATCCGTAAAGGGATTTAACTAGTTTGCACACTTTTCTTTCTTTTCCCGGAGCCACAAACCCTTCAGGTTGTTGCATGTAAATCTCTTCTTCCAACTCGCCATTCAAAAACGCTGTTTTTACATCCATTTGATGTATTTCCAAATTGTATAACGCTGCTATAGCAATTAATACTCTTATGGACGTAATTCGGGTTACTGGAGAATAAGTATCGAAGAAATCGTGTCCTTCGACCTGTTTATACCCTTTAGCTACTAGTCTAGCCTTGTATTTATCAATTGATCCATCTGCTTTATATTTTCTTTTTAGCACCCATTTACATCCTAGAGGTTTACATCCAGGTGGGAGATCAACTAACTCCCAAGTATGATTATGCATGATGGACTCAATTTCGCTGTTTACAGCTTCTTTCCAGAATGGAGCTTCTGGACTTGAGAATGCCTCTTGCAAAGTTCTCGGTTCATTTTCTATCATATATGATAGAAAATCAGGACCAAAAGACTTTTTCACTTTTGTCCTTTTACTGCGTCTTGGTTCATCTTGCTCAGATGTCTCAATTGCAGTTTTGTATGTTCTTTTGTTAGAACATATTTCTGTCCGTACAGTGCGCTATTGATATCATTGTTGAACTCATTCATTTTGTTTTCGCTCCGTGGATTCAGATTCTGGAGAAACTCAGTTTTGTTTTTCTTTGTTGCTTTGTCTGGGCACAGCTTGCGCCGTTGTCGGAGAAGAAAGGGCTGCTGCACAAGTAATCTTGGAAGCCTTGCTAAATCAGCTCAAGTTTTATCAGATTTTTGCAAAATTTGCCTGCTCGAATAATTTAGTTTAGTAGTAAAGATTTGATTGGTATTTGTATATCATATATATATATATATAACTCGATATTGATGGCTTATTATAGAGTAGGTAAAAAAATATCTGATTTTGATCCTCTAATGAAATCAGTCGAGTTTCGTTCGGATTTTGAAATAATGAAATTGTACTCTTTTGACGACGACGACGACGGTGATGACGTGGACGACGTTGTGAATATATCATATATATATATCGGGTAATCTGTTAAATAATCAGAAATTTTAAAAGTTTTTTTTTAAATACTTGGGAAATATTTTTTTTTAAATTGATGCTTTTTTTAGTAAATATTTAATTGCAAAACTATTTCGAAACTAAATCCTACATTAAAACTAAAATCTACGGATAAAAATAGATTTTTTAAAATAATATAAATATTTTATTGGATTTTATCGATTCATATTATATTTCTTCGGTTTGGTTTAAACTGGACTTAAATTATCCAAACTAGCTGAAAACTAACTAAATCTGCTATGCGGTTTTGCGTCAAACTCCTAGCATGTTGGAAGATGACATCTTAGATCCCCAAGAGACGTGAATATCAATAGAAAGCATGAAATTAAAATTTAAAAGATATTATTAGTAAAAAGCCTGGGTTTAGAACTTCTAATAATTAGGTTATTATCATTATTATTATGTATATATAATTTTAAAAAATAAAGCAGAAAATCACTATACAATCTTATGGTTAGCGTGAGAAGCAAGCAAGCTTCCTAGGGCTGACTGTCCGTCCTTCCAGAGCTTAATGCCGCCTCTCAATTCGAGCGCTCGACGGGACAAATGGAGCCATGAATTCAAACATCCTGTAACATGGATATCCCCACATATACTCCAACGAATTCACCTGACAATTTTACATAATTAGAGTCGAGGTTATTCACGATCCAAAGAAAGTTTTCATACGACCGACCACTCGGAGATTTTCCGACCAAAAGTACAGATAGCAGATAGCAGAGTTGAACTGAAAGATGAAAAGTTCACCTGCTTCACGCCCATTGGTCTGGGCCACATTGGCAAAGCATAAGAGTTGATTCCATTGTTCGTGGTAACCGTACTGCCGCTTGTACTTACACATGCCTGTATCGCAGCAAGAACCACATTAAAAGAGTTTCGAGAAATAACAGCAGTTCCCACCTGTAAAACAACGGCTTTCGATTCATATGCACGACTACTAGTATACTTTCGGGGGTTCGGCCGATTAGATTTCAGGCTGATATTATAAGAGAAGCTTGCAGAAGACAGAGGTTCAAACCTTTTGCTGAGGCAATGACGGTGTCCCGCCTGAAGGATTGGCTACTTCTGAATCCCGAGGGCTTCTAGTTTCCTGATGAATCCATCGAAAGTTGAACCGATAAATACACTGTTACATTCATGTATACATGTATACCTATGGGTCCAGATGCAGGGAGAGGGAATGTTTACACTGCAGAAGGGAGTGTCGAAGATGCTACGTCTTTGTTTCTTCTGGTCGGGTTTTTCCTGTCGGATGAAGTGCTTCTGGGCATGGCTAGCGACTTGTGTCGATGACCTCGTCTTTACATATCTCGTAGCAATTCCTTTCCAGTCCCCTTTCCCCAGCTTTTCAAGTCCTTCCAGAAACAGCTGGTGCTCTTCTTCGGTCCAAATCACTCCTGTTGTCCCCGAAAACGATAATCTCCTCGTCAAATTCGGGATAAGAATCACGAAAGAAGACAACTATCTATCGCATCGAATTGGTTTCACACACATATAAAAGATTCGGTTCTTATTCTTAGCATCTGTACTGAGAAGTATAACCAGAACCTCAGATAGCATATAGCACTTTTACTCACCTTTGTTTCTTCTCTTAAGAGGAGGTTCACAATCACAAGAACCGATCTCGCTGTCTTCGAGACCGACAGAGCTAACAGTGTTGTCCCCATCTCTCACCTGCTTCGTCTCTTCGGTTAGGTAAACTCCGAATATCTTCACACCTCCTCTGAACGGTTCCCTTGTATCGCCGATCTGCCCAGGTTCCGTATTTTCACTCATATCCCGAAAACCAGAGATTGATGCAAAGAGAATGTTGATTCCGCAGATGTGGGATTCAGAAATTCAGACAGAATATCCAAAAGAAAAGAAAATTTTTGAAGTGGGTTAAGTCGAGGCTTGTGTTAGACACAATCTCCTCAAGACGAAATTGCCCCGTTATCAAGTGGTTACGGTTTACAGCAATCGTCTCCAAGATACCACGACTTACGATTCTACAAAAGCACCACCTGCTTTAGAGAATCCAACGAACTACAAAAGTTCAGAACTCTTTAGAGAAAAGGTTTGAGAGTATTTCTTTCTAAAAGAAGAATGCACTCAGAAAAAATGGGATGCAGAAAATGATCCTATGGGCGCCCTATTTATAATATTCGGGGGTTGCTACGAAAACATGTGAAGGAAGAGGTTCCACCCTTTCAACCAGCGGTTCTAGCCGAATCGTTCCAAAAGGAAACGTTTCGTCAAGAACGCATTGGTTCGGAGCCCAACCGTCCCACATCGACGCGCAACTTTAAATTTTAAATCCCACATCGAAACGTTTTTCTCTGAATCAAATAGTCCCGAGTGGAACTTTCAATCCAAAGTTTAAACGTTCCGCTCGGGGAACTTTGCTCGTTTTTCTCCCAAGAGGAAGAAGTGGGACCAAGCATGTTTAGCTTTAGTCAACCTTGAGCTTGAACAATATTGACTCAAGGGGGGCTCTTTTTATAAGGAAGCTCCTTCCTTCCTCTTGGCCAAAACTTTAGATGTGGGACAAACATAAATATAAGGAAGCTTCCTTCCTTGTGCTTGTCATTTTTCCAATGTGGGACAAATGTTTTTCCTCCACATTTTTATATTTATTTTGTATAACCACATTTTAGAATTAATTTCTCATTCACCACAAATTGGTTTTAAGAAATTAATAACATTTTTCTAACAAATTTCTCTGTTATTAAAAATGCCATAGTGTTGTTTCATTCATTGGAATCTCGTCGTCAATACGAAAATTATGTGTTGACTGATAAAACGTAGACATCCTATAACTTATTTACAACATGTACTAATCATAAGCTAATATTAATATTCCTAACGGTGGTTGAGATCAAGACTATTTGTAATCAGATTCAGAAAATACTATTTTTTTAAAAAAATCAAACAAAAATTTTGTAATATTATTATATCAATTATGGTATTCGGATTTATGTAATAATAATTTTCTTAATTTATAAATTTTAATCTATATTATTTGTGAAGAATAAAAAAACGCGTTATCGAGAGAGGCGGCCGTGTTGAATAGTCGAAGGGGAACATTGAAGGCGAAGGTGGTCCGTCATGCATGGAATCTTATCTCGTGGCCGTGACAGTGAATCTTTGATTTCGGATTTGTAGTTTTGCTCCTCACGTTCTTTGTTTATATATATATATATATATATATATATATATATATATATATTTCTTGTCGTTATTTTCTTGAATTTTATAACTCCTTTTTAGGTTTTAACTTATGTATAAACCAGAATTATAAGTCTCCGCATCAAGATATATATTTCATAGTAAAATAAATCAATTATCGAATATATATATAGATATATATATATTGGAGACTTGAAATCGAAATTAAAAGAAAATAATCTAACGATAAAATACATAAAAACAAAATTAGACATGAAAAAGTTTATTTTCTCACCTTTGTTTACACCACTAAATTTTCGAACCTATTCAAGCAAAAATTAGGGTTATATATATATATATATATATATGTATGCATTGGAAATACATAGCATAGAAGACTAGAGGTAATTACAGCTCTCAATAATGCAGCGTTCAAATATTAAATAGGCTAACGTACAATTGAATTATTTTGTCATTATTACGAGTACTAGCATATGCAAACGTGTTAATTGGCTTTCCGGAATAATAATTGAGAAACCATTTTTGGCTTATGCAAGAGTTATTCGGTCCACTTTAAAATTAAATGCAATTAATGTATACGTGTAACGGTAAATAAAATTACTCGTGGTAGCAAAATGGAGATTATCAGTGTAAAAAAGGCAGACCAAAACACACGCATATTATATTCGTATTTCGTACAACTTAATGACCGGTAGATAGATTTCGTAAAATAATCAGGAGGATGATTTAATTTAGAAATATTGTGTGTAACAAAACAGTTTAGCTACATTATTAAGAGCTATAGTTACTTCTATGCATTTCCAATATATTAATTGCGGCTTGATAATTACCTAGTGTATGGAGTATGCTTAAAAAGATACAAAATATTTCGGATAATATATATATATATATAATATATACAATTTCTATAATTATTTTTTACCTTAGATTGTGGTTTGGATATCATTACTACTATGAGAGATTGGTATATTTTAAAATTTTGGCACCCCAACATATATATATATATATATATATATATATATAAATGGGTTTGATTGTTATGAAGTTGTAATTGAGTAGCTGGATTAAGATGGAGACTAATCATCAACTTAGTGTTTTAAATGTTATCTCAAAAAGCTTGCAAATCTTTGGTTAGGGGTCAAAAAAGATTTAACTAATCTTGAAATATATGATACCGACGAAAATGAATAATCACCGTCATACATCATTATCCATTTGCTCAATTTGTAATTATTTTTGTTATTTTTATCCACCTTCTTTAATTATTTCTCCTCTTATTGGTTTCTGATTATTAAACTTTTGTGTTTCTATATACATAAACGGTAATATATATATATATATATATATATATACATTTTAATTCAAATACAAGTTCATGCGAAATTTCGCAAAGGCAAAAGAATCTAAGTTCATGCAGAGGAAACGTTTCTTAAAACAATCATATGGACACCAAGCACATGCATGCATTCAGGGTAGTGGCACACACATCATGTTATTTTTGTCTGAATTCAAATCCCGATGAATACGATATACTATAAAATAGCAGTAATGAATATTCATTTACAAATTATAAGATCATTATTTATTTTTATATTAAAGAGTTTAAAATAGATAACATAATTTTTAATTCTACTAAAAAAATCTAAAAATTCAAACTAAATAATATGCACATTGATATTCAAACTCAATTTCTCAAAGATTTTGAATACTTGATAGATAAAGAGGAACAAGTGCAACTTCGTAGACGGAGATATTAACTTCCAATATTTTATTTAGAAAACATATAGTTTTATGTAAAAAAAAAAGAAAAGTTGGAGAATAAGGAGATAAATAAATCAAAATAGAAATAAATAAATAATAAATTCAAGTAATATAAAATTGCTATTATAAAATAGAATAATATTATCGTTGAAATTGATATATTATCCCTCGCCCATCTCACATTAGTCTTCTTTATAGATATGCATACAACTATATATATACATATTGTAATTTAAAAGTGAAAAAAATAATATTCACGAAGGAGTTTATTACCAAATAAAATGCATGTCATTAATTACACTAAGAAAATATGAAAAAAAAATATGCATGATACATTAATTAGTTAATTTTTACGTGGACGATCCTAGAGCATTCGGTTCACACTTCATGGTAACTTTCTAGCCTTTTGTCACATCAATTTATTTTTTTTGTTAATGTTGTCACATCAAGTTATCGTACTTAATAATTTTTTTTTTCAATATAGTAATTAATAATATTAAGAATTTCTTCAACCGCATATTATTCTCTGGTCTTAGTCTTTCATTTTCGTTTCTTCACGTTTATTTTTGTGTGTTAATGGGCCCATTCCTTTACCAAATATCTCTGCTCACTATTATTACTGCATTAAATGTACTGAAATTAGAGCAATTTCAAATTACTGATATAAAGTAATGTTTTTATGTGAATCCTATACCAAGAAAATATATTAATAACATGAAGCCATCAAACGTATTATTGTTCGAGCATGGGTTGAGTAAGTTTTAATTATCATTTTATTTACTAGTCATTTCTCCTAATTAATCGTAGATATATATTTATGGTAGTTAGTAATGCTAATTAAATTTGAAGTTCGAGATATCGAACCGGTTATATATTATCCCAACAGGAATCATAAAAAAATAAGTTTTTGGAAAGTGATTTATATAATCACGATGATATATGATCCGTTCATTTCATAAATATTATTTATCCTTGATTATCAGTTAAAATTAAATAAAAAAAACATTTAACCGATGATGTTAACATGGCAAACGTCTACTTGTTATTATTATACAATTTGTTATTATTATACAATATTGGAAAATAATATCAAGTTTTGAATAAAATATTGTCAACCATGCTAGGGAAAATCAAGACTTTTTGCATAAAATTGCCATGGAAGACTTGTTTGGCAGCGAGTGAGCTTATTCAATAATTTTTTTTTTGGTTTCGTTAAAAATCGGACTCACAAACTCGGGCTGAGTCACGAGTTTCGAAGAGCCACTCGCGAGCCAAATTTCTAGATTTTTTGTATATATTTCGTGTTTCCATTTCAATATGGATTTATTGGATTCATTTATAACTTTTTACGTCATATATCGACTTTATTGAACAATAGTCGTGGATGATTTCTTGAGAATAAATCTTCAAAATGTATAAATAGAAAAGATATTGAAATTATTTTATTCGATCATAAAATATTTTTATATAGAGATGAATATAAAAAATGATATTCTAATTTTTTAAATTATTATTTATGCCAAATTTGTATTGATTTAAGATATAAGCAAATTGAATTAGGATTGAATATTTTCAAACTCATTTTTTTTAAAAAAATAGTCGAACTGAACCGAATTCCAAATGAATTTATGATTTGGATCGCATCCAACCAATCCAAGGCAAGCATAATATGAACTGTAAGTTATGAAAATAAAAATATTAATATTAAAAAAATAATAATTCGGTTTTTTTAACATACACTAGTTCTCGGGATACATTAAGTTCCGACAATCAGTTCTTTACCGCTCACACCAAGGAACAGTCGCAATTTTATTTTTATTTTTAAATGATTTTTATAATATATGGTTGAGTTGGATCAACGTGTTCGTTTTTTAATATATATTGTAATAAAAAAAGTAATTTATCTAAAAAAATTGAGATACATTGATATTGACTGGTTCTAGAAGTAATTATGGATCGCATATCAAAATTCAATCTATATATATAATTTCAAAATTTTTATGTTATATAACTTTTAAATTGATAGCATTGGGT